GGGCTACACACAAAGACCAATTACCATATATACAAGAGCCAGGGTCTGCCTTCTTTCACCGTGTTTGCTCAAGCGTGGGCCGAGAATAATTGCTGAAAAGCGGGCTGAGGATCTCAATTTTTACGGCGTGTCTAGCCGTGTCCCGGCGCAAGGGGTTAAGCACCACAATATTTGGAAGTGATTTATCAGTTTGAAATTGTTATCAAAAGTAAGAAGCACTGAGTTTCAGCACCAAGTGCTTGTCAAATTTTCCACTTATTTGGCTTAAAGTCAGGCAGTCATTTTCCTTGGCCCAAACTGTTAATTGCCATGACAAGTGACCGGGAAATGTATGAATTAAGTAGCGTGTCCTCATTGTAATGGTGTCTTTTGGTAACTCATTGCCCAAAGTTTTACCACGGCTTGGTATGTATTGATAGCAGAGAATAAAGTGAAATATTTAACCCCAAATGACTAGAAGAGGGAATGTTCAGTGGTTTCAAATTGAGGTAAGATGCAGGCTTTCTGATGGAGAAAGCTAAGGTATACATCGAAGTTTCGGAATACGTCATGTTTTTGATTTTGAAGTAGTGAATAGCTTAAAAATTTGTTTTGCAATTAAGATTGTAGTTTGTGGAGTTAATGCATTGTGCAGTGTTTGTCTAAGGTGAGTATTTTAAGGGCCTCATTAAGACACAAAGTTGCAAGTGTTACTTTGTAAAGCCATTCTTCAATTCATACGTAGATTCTAAGAAGAACAACTGACCTTCATTTTTATATCAAACAGCTTAACTTGTTCACCGTCACTTAATGCATTTGTTTACTTGGAATTTTTCACAAATAGAATTTAGCCGTTCATGTATAGTTTTTGGCAAAATTTCATCCATCATCCATTTGTATCAAATAGATCAGTTTTTATTTCCTTTATGTGTTAAGTAGTTTCAGTCTGCTCATGGTGTACTTTCACATACACATGTCTGATTCTTTGTTGTAAGTAAAGGTAAAATCTAATGTTTTGGTATAAATAGGGATATTTATAGGGAGACAGTCAAGATTACTGTCCAGGAACTTTTTGTATTTGATGCATCATTATTTTGCATGTGCATTACTTTTTAAAAATTTGTTCGCTTGTGACTTTTACTGGTACAGAGTTGAAAGCCCTGCAGATGTTGAGAGACATAAAACAGGCAATAAAAACAAGTTTAAAACATTTATGAAAAACACTTGTATGAGTACATGTAGCTTGATCCAATGGATGATTAATTAGTCCAAATTCCTTGGAAATTTTTAAAACACCTTATATTTCTTGGGTGATGTAGCAATTAACAAACTTTGGTGAAGGAGCTTCCTGAGTGATTTCCAGAATGTCTGTGGAATTCTGTGCCTGTCAGATTGAAGGACAGTATAAAAATTGAATGAACAAATGACATTGTTACGATTAAACTAAACTGAAACAGTCTGAGCAATAATCTCAAACATTCATTTTGTTTCAGAGAACATTTTTAGCACCAACATACAGTGTTCAAGTGTTTATAAACATTTTTCTCATTTGAAAATTTGGAACAAGTGGAAGAGTTACATGAACATATAGGGTTGTGAATTAAAGTGACAGTACTGGGAATTTACCCTTGAGTGACACAACATCAGCAATGTTGGTCCATTTTTCATGTCTAGTGCTACAGCAATCAGTATCCTTTTCTGCGACATAACTTTCTCTGACTCATTGAATGAAGATAACAGTTAAGATCAGAGATTCACAGACATATGGAAATCCAGCTTGATGGTTTGGCACCTCTATCAGATATCTTGAGGGATCCCTCTTTTGCATTTTATTCCACAGACTCCTTTACAACTCATGTTTCTTGCATGAGCATCCTTCACTTGAGTTCTTGCCATGTTCCCCTTCTCTATTTGTACCTTCCATCCCAAAAATGACTTCACTTCCAGACCATCCTTTTTTCGGCATGATTAAAAATGGAAATTTATACCCACTGTCTACGCATAATGAGCATGATGCTTTACACAAAGAGTTGTATATCAAAGAAATTGCTTCTTTAATGTTTGATCTCCTATACTTTTGTTAATCCACACATCCCATGATTTGAGTTTGGCAGTCCTTCATATAGCACCTCATTATTGTGACCCATTTCTGAAGTCCTGAGTCCTGATCAGTGTTTATTCCCCCTTTTCTGACCTCATCATACCGTCCTTATCAACCAACATATCCCGTCTTCTAATCCTTTCCCTTCTACCACCTACCCGTCCCTCTAACCTTCCGTCATTTTCCTTCCCTTTTTTCTCCATACAGCCTTGAGACGGCCAAAAGCCAGACCTCTGTGACTGTTGACCCGTCTGTGACCTCGATGACCTCATTCACCACCTCTTCATCACCCACCACCCTGACCCCGAATACCGCACCCTCGCCGACAATCTCCCAAGACATGTCTCCTCTATCAAACATACTGATGAAACCTGTTCCGTTACTCAGTTTGGATGCTCTACAGCAGGCCAGCAATGCTTACACAACCAAAATCCGCACTGCCACTGTTGCCGCCGTCGCTGGAGCTAAGAAATTCTCCCCATACTAACTCCACACTGCACGTTTTTTTGTTATTGTTTTTCGCTGGTTCACGCTATTTTTTCTTTGTTTTGTTTTAATGAAGGGATCATCATCAACTTTGGCACTTTATTTTATTTGAATAACTATGAAAACAAGCCTTTGTTAAGCTTGCATTTTCTTTAGTTTTTCATTTTTGACGACATTGATGTTTCACATTGCACTTCCATGTCGAGCATTGGTCCGAGTGTCTTGAATTAAGTTGGGGGCGTGGGGGTTACTTTGACAATTTGTTTCATCATCTTAGAATATTGTTTTGGCTGGTATAGAAAACATGGTGTGTTACAGACGGATGTGTTGTACATGACACAAAGGCGAAGTTCATCTGGGCATTTAACATTGCATTCATATCAAATTTTCATGTTATAATTGGTAGGTGCACAAAAGGAGCAGTGAGTCAGTAACAGACTTACACTTTGACTGGAAATAAGTACACCACTGCACATCTTTGCACTCTGATATAGTGTGGATGAACAGAAGTTTTGTCACTAGGGTGCCATGGAGCCTTCTGTTTGTCAGTTACTTTGAAGTGTCTTGCTAGTAAAGAAAAATCCAAACTTTCGTAATGATTTTTTTTTTGGAGGGGAAGGGAAGGAGCTGCCTTACATAAAACAACTTTTTAAAGAACTGCTATTAAAATTAAATTTGTCTTTATATACTGGGACGGTGCATCAGTATGATTAAATGTTTTTTCATTGGACTTTGGTTGAGATAGAACTTATTACATTGTGACTAGATGATGATGACCTAATAGTGAGGTTACTGATGTCACCAAGGTAGGTTTGTGAGATTCAATTTCATAGGAACTCTAAGATTTAATTTGCTGAAGTGAAATTCATCTTAAAAAAGGAAATCTTGTTCTTGACACTCATTTGAATCATAAATGCAGAGTTTATCTTGTTAGAACACAATCAGAAAATCAGTTTCTCAGTTTTGATTTTGCTTCATTGCTGTGTGAATGGTTGTAAGTGGATGCAGTACATGTTGCTTTGAGGATTCATGTAAAACTTTGAAGCTTTGAAAGTGAAAATGTGATGTTGACCAAATCAAGTCTTCCACTTGGTTCTTCTTAGCAAAATAAAATCAACATTTAGGCTAACAAATGCATTGAGAAAATGCTGTTTGTGACAATGTTATAAAAAGTTCTACTGACTGTCCTAATACACGTTGAATGATGTTTTTTCTGTAGTGGTTGAGGGACAAGTTTTAGCATATTTGAAAATTCAGGAAGAAGTTGAGTGTTGTGTCTTGGTTTAGTCTGTCTTTGGTGAGACTCCTGACAGTTGCTTGCTTTAAGTAAAATATTAATACAGCTTATGTGTGATATTTAACCGTATGAAATGGTCTTGTCACTTGGCATGAACCAGGTGAGAATTTAGATGGTAGACTTTCTGTCTTAGAAAGGTAGGAAATCAAGGAAAAGCAACTTTTGTTTCATAGATAGGTTTTTCTAACTAGGCTGAGCTTTTGGCATGTGGAATACCACAGTCTAGCTATGGATATTGTTTTGAAAGTTGCTAGTATTAATTTAGATTTGAGATTAATCTCAGTCTTTGTAGTATACTAAAATTACAATAGCAACACAAAAATCAGACTGAAAATGATTTTCTGATTGTTGACTTTGTTCAGTCATTTGTAAGGGGACTATAACCTATTTTTGAATGCATGTTTGCAAAGTGAAAAAGAGAGTGAACCAGCGAAATCACATTAGTTTCCACTTGCTGACATCCTCATTACATCGCTTACATATATTTGCCATGATCCTGCAGATGTCTCTTTGCAGCATGTTATGTAGTGTGTGGATGTGTACAGTCTGTGACAGAAGCATGGCTGCTGTATTATACCACGCAGATTCATCATGTAGAAATAGTTGTAATTTATTTCCACCCTTTTCCCCTTGAGTTTTTGGGTTTATTTTGGCATCTTGGTATTCATATTTTAGTATTCTAATCCATAGTTAATCTTCCAGTGTATCAAAGAGGCTCCAAATGAGATGTAATTTGGCTCGATATCGTGTTCAGGTTAACTTTTGAATAGCACTTAAAAGATGAGACCGTGTCGTAGAAGGGTTTAATTTCCTCCGTCCATAATGTCAAAGGTCACAGACATTCTTCACAAATGTTGAAACACACCAAATTAATAATTTACTCCAGACTTGCGTATTAAGACTCATGTGTGCTTACTAGGGGTGTGTGCCAAGTATTGTTGAAGTTTGTATTGGAAATGTAGTATGGTACATGTAAATTTTGGGGCATGACTGTAGAAACAAAGGTATCTTCCACTTTTTTGACATAATTATGTATAAATTCAGCAGAGGTAAGGCTGTAAAAAGAAACGATTTGGTGCGATAATATCCATAAAACATAACGGATATATAGCCTACTTAGCATGTAATGAATGATTTGTAGTTGGTTGTCATTTTGAATCCAGTTGTGTTTAAGTTGCATGAATGTTAGCTGTAGAGTTACACCGTAACAGCATTGGTTTGATTTGATACCGTGCTATCTGTCTTTACAAGTAGGCTTACTGAAAAGGCTTCTGCCTTTGCATGCATGGTCGTTTTCATCCTTATTTTGACAAGTGATTGCAGTTTTTGTCTGTGCCTCGTATTCATTTATATCAATATTTGTTTTAGAGGTCATTAGTTTTGGAAGACTTCTGCCCATAGTTTTACATGTTATCTAGTAATATACAGCATTGGGTTATATTGCCCGTTTTTGTTAGCTTCACGAAGTTAGATGGAAATGGGAAGATAGCATGCACTGATTAACATTTTGATTGGTTTCATCGGCAACATCATTGAGTGGCAATATTCATTTGAAGATTGCTTAATCACAGCGAGACTAACGACAGTGTGTATAAGACACAGTTCACTGCGATGTAACCGTAAATAGGAATTTGGTTCGACTGCCTGGGTGTAAATTTGTTTGTTTTTTTTAATTTCGAGGAGTTAACTTCGCAGTGTTTTGAAATACACGAATGACAGCTTCTCTTTGGGAAATGATATGCTTAATTAAAAAAAAAACTCCATAGTTGTTGTGTATCAGGTGGTTTTTAATTCAACATGTAGTTCATGCATCTGGACACGCGTTGATTTTGTGTAGAGAGAATGTTATGAACATTTTCAATAAGAATAGCTTAGTAATTCAGGAAAGTGACTTGACATGTCACATGGTAACAGCATTTCCATTGATCCACTTCCAAAATTGGCATTTCAATAGTTTTACCATGAATAGATTGGCAGAGCTAATTTATATTTCTGTATCATAACTCGCTGTTTGATGTGTTGTGTTTCTTGTGCCATTGTCTGTGAGGTTATATGTTTCAGTTATCTTCCTAAATTCTTTCGCCTAAAGATAAGGCGTTGCCACTAACAAAAATAATTTTAAAATAAAGTAAAAGGTAACTTGTAATATTTTTATTATCATTTCACGGTGAGAAATCAACAAATTTTCAGACCCCTTGTATTAGAAAATGTATTTAACATTTTAAGAAATCTGAGAGATGTTACTTTTGTCAATTATTCTTCCGTTTTCATTCACTTCCATATCACTTTATAGTTGGGTGGCTATCTGGGCCAAATACAATTTCAGCTTAGCGAGTGTTTTGAGTGCGCTTGAATTGTATGTAATTATGGCAATCAACTCGGTCTAGCACGAAGAGGTTCACAGATTTATTTTGCGTACAGTGATTGTGTACAAGTTATGCAGGGTGAACCAATTTCGTGTTTAATTTATTGGTGTCGGGTAGTGAGTAAAAGACAGGGACATTTTGATTGCCAGAGATTGTTTCAGGTGAAAAGGAATCTGTAATTTAAATATATTGAAATATTGCTTCGCTAACGCTGTTTTTCGATAACTGGATAAACTCTGCGGGACACTGTTTTGTATAGCCCAGTGACAAGCATGTACAGGAGTGATTCGTACAAAGAAATGTGGGAGTTGATTCTACTACAGCAATCTGCGACACTTGTTGGCATCGTCAACTTGTTCTGTCTTTGAACAAGTTGCGCGCCTACCTCAAAATAACTAGTGTATTGATCCGTACATCTGAAATGTGGTAGTAGACAACCCTAAAATGCGACTCTTCTGAGACCAGTGAAATTTGTACTTCGGCCTTAGAACAGACAATAATCGAATCTTGCAGCTTTACCTAGTCACATTAGGCCTATCCTTTATATACGTGCAGTTACCACAGCTTGGCATCTAACGGAGGCGTACTTGTAAGAACATGTGGAGCATTTTATTTGGCAATTTTGTTCAAACGGACATTGTATGTAAATTATGTTGGGCCAGTTCAAAGCTACTTAAACACGTAAAGTGCTGTAAATCAACAGTAGTGAACATTAAGATTCTTCAGATAAGCTTTTTTGGTTGTGTAATTTAAGCATCGCTACAAGTCATGTATATAGCTGTGTATTCATTGGTCCAAATTCACAGATGTTGATTCCATTGTACTTAGCCTCGTAAGTGTTGGTGTTTATTTGTGTCGCTGATCATCGTTTTGGTTCTTATTAAATTCATGTTGAATTATATTGCTTACCCTTAATAACATAATGGAAGTAACAATGAAATGCATCTTGCTGATATTGGACGATAGAGGACTTTCCTACCGGTGTCCAGTCCGTCTGCAGCCTACGAAACCCCAGCTTTGATTTTCTAGGTTTGCTATTTTAACAAATGATATTTATTCTTCCTTGTGTAGCACTTATTAACCATTTTTAGCACAATTATGTGTATCATATTAGCTTAAAATTAATGTAACTTATGTAACATCTGTGACAGTATTACATAAAACCAAGTAACATTTGTAAATGTCATATTGGTCTAGTGATGTAGTGAATCTAGCGCCAAGTGGATGACATCATGGATGTGCTTCATCACGTGGTTATGTGTAACGTCTTCCAGAATGGTATTCCGGGGGGGGGGAGCTTGGAGGGATTGGGTGTCGGGATACCCAATCAGTAAATAATCACCCGAAGGGTTGTTTGCATCTCATCAAGATACGTGAAGAGACCAGTATGTACGTTGTAGTTTCAATTATTTCTGTTGACCTGGTCATGTTTTAACATGGGTCCTTGCTCTATGATTTTAAGTACACTCAAAGTCTAGCACAGTATAGTCAAATCTGTATAAGTTACACATTTTCATCTGACCATGTAGACATATCCTGTCCAAAGTCGAAAGCAATTTTTTCTTGTGTACTCAGTCGTTCGTTCTAGTGACGGGGATATTTTAGCACATACCAAGTATTAATTTCTGTACAACGAACATAAAATGCAATAAACACATTTGTTTAAACAACAATTAGTTTTAGTTTAGTAAAGGAAACGACTTTGGCTTACACATTAGGAATTGGTAACTGACTTAACAATTTCTGTATTTACTGACTCGTGTTTTTATTTTCCCTTGACTCGATATAAAAATAACCATCGTAGTGCAGGCGATATCTTGGGATGCTTTAAACTAGCATATTTATAGTGCAGTTAGGTTCACACTTTACAGTTAAACTTACTGGTAAACTGGACAATCTTAGTCTAGATTAAGCTCGTTTTAAAAAGCATGCTTTACTGTGTACATCGATGTGTGAATAAAAGAGCTGCACACAACAATGCAAAGGATTCAGGGTCTCAATCTGTGAGCTCCGTTAGTTGCATAAATAGTTGATACTTAATAAAATGCTGTTAATTGATGTTACTTTTTATCGATTGTGGTCCAGATTATTGAGAGCAATCTGGGCTGAAGTCAACCAAATAGGGCTTTTGTATTTCGAGAAAAAGTGATTGAGTTTGTTAACTGGTTGCAAAATATTGTGGCTGCTTAGAATGGCGAATAGAGAAAGTGGTAAAAACTTACCTTTAACTTCCCAGTTTACGTTTCCGTGCCCTGTTTCCGCGTTTTTTTAAAGACATTTTCTGTGTTACCTGTTAATAAAACTCATTGTTCTATGTAGAGCAAATTGATATCTCGTGAAGATATCTACACGTCAACTTGGTATTGTACTGCGTTTTACGCACCAATAAGAATTGGCCTATTGGTGACTGTAGAGCACAAATTATTTACAATTGCTGAGGTTATCATCTTCAAGCAAGTACATTTTACTCATATTTTTCATTAATTGAAGAACTTCAATACTGTGAATGAAACTTTGTAGCTTTGAGATTGCATGTTGGTTCTTAAAGGAAGTTTTGTCTTTTTGACTTTCCTCGTCTTTGGCTACAGAATATCGTCAGAAATCACCGGTCTTCCTGCATTCTGATTGGTGGAGAGAATCCGTCCAATTTCTCCAAGCGCAATAAGCATTATGCAGCGGTATGTATTCTTGTTTGTACAGAATTTCAGAGGACACAATTCTCCATTGTGATCAACCGGAGAAGTCCTGCAATCGGGACTTGGGTCAGTAGTAATTTGTAAGACGTTAAACATTGTGTACTTAAATTAATTTTGATTTGTGTGTCACGCAGTATCAAAGACATCAATCATAGAGAATGTGCTTAACCGGTCTTTCTGTTTTCAAAAGAATTTTAATTGAACTCACAGTTTAAGAATTAACATTTTAGATGTTTCTAATTAAAAGTCAGGAAAATATCCGTATGTTATTTTAAACGGCACAGGAAACCATCTACGTTCAAAAACCGTCGATTCCGCGTTGAAATTTAATAGAAAAGCTGAGATCATTCGTGAATACCAAATGCTTTGTCTGGACAAAAAAGTTCAGTGAAAACGACGGAACGATAATTGTATGAATCATAGAGACATGGAAAATTTTCGATATATCCAGCCGGTTTATGGACTACATGTACTTTGCTCTCCAGGCAATAAAATAAAAATGTACCACGTCTTGGAAATCAGTCGTGTTTGTGACGAGTGTGGTATGGCCACGTAATAGTGCTGGTGTACCGTAATTTTTTCCCAAGAGTTTAGGATACGGGTATATAGCGATAGGGTAACATTTCCTGCTAAACTATAACTAGATTTGTGCGTGTACTGAGTTGTACACCGCATCGTCATTGGTGTGGCGTTTACTTTACAATTCATTGTAAATTTGACAGTTCCGCTGGTGCTAATGTGGCCTAGTATTGCTTTTCTGTGTGAACAACTAGTGAAATGAGACACCATGGCATTTCATTGAACTTAGAGAAAAATCAAATGACACTGTATTTTGTTTGGTACTGTACAACTTCCAGTACGTACGATGCATTTTTAATGGCAAGCTTACACAGCTTGTCGCATATACTAGCAACTTCCTAACGTAAAACTTTGTTTGCCAAAAAATCCCAAGAACTATGAACTATATAACATAAAGGAATATCTGAGAGATTTGGTAAGCATGGTCAAGGTGCATACAAAATGACGTTTCTGTAAAGCTACTATTTCTTGTGAACGATGTCTTGAGTATTTGTCGTCTTCACAGGACGTTTGTGCTGTCCTGTAAATCTGCTATGCAAATACTATACCGTGAACTAAATCTTTAGAGTTCATCGCTAATAAAGATGGACGAGATATTTCGATTTTTTCAACAACCTTCCCAGCTGTTGCATTTGGAAGTTAAACTCAACTCACAGTGTAAAGTCCCCAATATAAATTCTGTTGAAATGTTAGTGATTTGTTAACCTCCTGGAGGCCTGTTCATACTTCAGGTGAACGCGAAAGCGAAGCCAAGTTAACATCAAGAAATATTACCTGTGCGATGCGTTTTAGTTGAAACGTGATTAATGCTTGACCATTCGCAGTACGAATATTTGATTGATGTTACAGTTTTGCTTTCGTGTTTGCATATGAACCCGCCTTAGTTACGTTTCTTAACAGAAATAAGGAATTTTGAAAAATATTTTGTAATAATATGTTTATATATTGAATCAGTGGCTATCCGTAACGAACTGAGATTGGCTTCAACGTCATCAAATTTTATGAACTTCACAATTTTTGTTTTGTTTAATTGATAAAAAGCCCTTTGAAACGTGTCAAACGTTGTCTACATTTATGCACTACTCGACAAAAAGCCAAAAGATGAATGCCGCACTGTGAACTGTGGTGTCTCCATTACTACTTTTTATTGTTTAACCATTTGAAGTAATCTGAACAGGTGATTATTCTCTTCTAGTATCACTCCGCGCATCTTGTTTATAACCAAAGATGGGCAGACACCGTCTAGAATTGATATTGCGTGGATTATCGTAGCATTGCTTTATGTTGTGCATCTTAATTGTTAAAATAAGTTCGGTCGTTCTTCAATCCATCATTTCACGATACAAAATGGACGGTAATTTGGCAGTATAATCCCCAAGCACAAGCAAATGTAGATTTCATACCTGGGTTCAATCTCTACTAAAAAAATGTTTGCAAATGACTGGATTTTGTTATAAGAGACAGCGCACGGATGGCATTTTTCGCTTTGTATTGCAAATAAGTGTCGTTTGTTTTAACTTTTAAAAGCATACCCATCACTTAACCTACATGTGTGCATTTGCATTTACGGTTATGTTGCTTCCAGTTCCCCCGAGTGAGGAATATTTTGTTTGTTTAAAACATCTCTAGCCCCCAAATTGAAAGATGCATTAATTCTTCTCTCTGAAATTTAAACTTTGAAGCGGCAAATACATTTAGATCTTAATACGAATCCACTTACAACTAGCAGATAGAGTTGCACCTGAACGTTTTTTCTGTAATATTTTGCAAGAAAGTTCTTTTTAAAAATGGTTTTCCAATACAAATTTTGTAACCCCATACACAAATATTTGAGAGAAAATAGTGGAAATGTGTGACCAAGGTATCGCGTTGAGAAATATATAATGGAATTGTCACTGTGTATGTAAATATCGTTTTAAAACATGAAAGCAATACTTAATCTTTTCGCACTATAACCACGTAAACAGTACTTAATATTGTACCTGTGTTTTTGGATATAGGTAGATTTGATATTCATATAAGCAGATGTCAGCCTATACATCTATGAATTGTTCCTAGTACATCTGGATTTGCGTAGTGTCATTTGTAAATTTAGTTTCGTTAATTGCTCTTCTACGATCAAAAAACACTATAGATGTTTGACATACATGTCTGTGAAAAACAGGAGAATGGCAGTTTCCGGAAAGTGGTCGACTTATCGTTGCCAAAACCAAAGAGTATCACAAAACTGATTCTAGATAGAAACACTGGTTTGCGTGAAGTATTCGAAGTAGGAGTAGTTGTTTTATGTTGCTTTTCGTTGGCGTATCGGCTTTTTGTGTGATACGTATTTGCGCCACAGGTCTTGAACGTTGCATTATTATGATAGTTAACGTTTTTCAAAATGATTCACTACACCCTGCGTGATTTTAATCGGGTAGGTGAAATGACATCAGCTTTGCTTTCTTAACATGGAAACTTGCGAACACATGTAGGGTTGCCGCAAGTTAGGCCTTTGAATCATAATTTCAGTACAGGAAACCAGAAAGTTGCATTGTTGAACGAAAGGAAAAGTACGCCGGCATAGCTACGTCTCCGTTGAAAAACGTTCAAATAACAAAATGTTAGCCTGTGATATGAATGTGTAGTATATTTTTGGATGGGAATGCGTGATCTTAGAGTTTTGGGCCAAGACGTCTCCTTGAAACCAAGTGAACAAAATAGGAGTTTAGAGAAAATAGGAGTCTGGTTGACATAATCTAAAGGACCACTCAATGTATCACCTAGAAGTTGAAATAATACAACGCATTTCATATTTTACGTAATGTTTCCATACAAACATAGAAAGATATCTGTATTAGTTGTAAAGTCTATTCTGTACATATAGTATTGCGTTTGAGTGCAATGGTGTTGTATCTAACAAAAGTTTGCATTTAATTATGTATCTAGTATAGTCATTACAAAATGTGTTTATTCTTTTAAATAATTTAATATATTGGCCATGTATAGCATGCATGAATTAAACAGTTGAAAAATTGCTTTTAAAATGAAAAATATAAGAAGCATCGCATTATATATAGCAGTTTTTTGTTGACATTTTAATTTCTTAATTACCTCAACGATAATTATTAGTGTCCTACTCCATGCTGTAGCGCCCATAGGACTAACAATATTGAACGGACAATGATTTGGCCTGTGGCCAAGCTCGTTTCTTTGTGTACTACATCGATGGGAAAGCAAACAAAGAACTTGTCGACAGAGGGAGCCCTTCTTGCCGAGAGACACTATAAGAGCCATCTCAGTTCTAATATTTCACACAGCGGAACGAGGAACTTTTGTGGGTATTCTCTAGTTTGTTTGGATTCTAGAATTTGTGGTTACATTAGGTCATTGTCACTTCATGCAATGAAGAAAAAGGTGTGTACGAAAGGTTTGATTCCTTTAAAAAATACAGGGTAAAAGTGTCTGAGAGTATAAAGTCTGTCAACCCGAAGAGTAAATAAAATACAAATAAAATATGACCGTGATTAAAGGGCGGGAAATTATTTGTGGAAATTGAACTGTTCATTTTCTCTGTCATAAGTTGTGTTTGTTTGTTTTTAATGCAGTGTCGGTCGTGTGATGAAAATTATTACATTCTATACTTAATCTTCACCTTCATCATAGAGGAAATGTGTTATGGAATTACTGAATGAATTAGGCATTGACCACTCCCGCAATGGGTCTATATAGAATAAGAAGCCTTTACTGCGGTGGTGCAACGCTCGTGGACAGGTGGTTCGCGCGCCTCTTTGTCTTTGACCAATCTGATATCGTGGTTTGCCAAGTGCACGCTCGCGTGAAGCTGAAAAATATGCGTGTGAGTGCGACGCCACCGTTGTTATGGCGTCGATCCGGATTGGTCTATCCGGTTTGTAAGTGACTTCGTCACAAAGGTAGACGCGCCACGATTTTCAGGCTTCCATTGGACGATCGCTGAAGTTGCGCGTTAACTTCCGTTTCCATGGTGCCATGTAAACGCACGGACGTATATAAAAACATTGGACTTGCAACTCCTTTGTATGAAAAAGAAGCCAACCAGCGGCCATTTTACCGAGCCGAATGTAAAAGCGTAGGTCACTATTGACGCCAGGAAGAACATAGGCGGGCATTGCCAGGAAAGTTTTGTTTTCGGCTCAGTAAAATGGCCGCGAGTGGATTCAATGACTCAATAAGCTGATTAAGGGCATTACGAGTCCAGATTTTATTATATACGTCCGTGTGTAAACGGCTATCAATGCATGCAACTCTACGTGCAGTGCATGCGCAATGGCCGTGGTTTAAACTGAAATGACGTCACACTTACGAATCGGATAGGTGGAAAAGGCATGTAACATGCGCGTACTCCCCGTCCACGAGTGTCGTGCCACCTCAGTAATGGCCTCTAAAGGTTGACCCCTGATGGTGCACTTCTGGAACCCTTGTACAGGAAAAACAACTTGCAAAGGTTCGTTCAGTTACTTCTTAAAAAATCAAATTCGGAAAAAGGACTGTGGAAACTATTTGCTAGTATATCAATTTATAGAAACTGAAAAATTACCTGACCTAAAAGAGAAATATCCTGCCAAAAATTGACCCATCACTTCTGAAAATCTAAAATACATGAACAGCCCAATGCGGCGGTCTTGTACGCAGATGAACATTTACGGTTTGAAATATAATAGTGGTCTGCCGGTAAAAGCTGAAATAAAAACAGATCAAAATATTTAAAGGGATTTCTTTTTATTCGTAAAGGAAGCAGTAGTCTACTTTTACGAAAACTTCTAATATTTTATCTAACCTTTGCTGACAACAACTGCGTGATGTCAACTCAACGGAATCTTGAACACATCGACTTCAGGTAGGCAAATCTTTGCAACTTGATACAATCTCGTATTTTATTGCAGTAAATTTGGCAATATTTATTGTTTATTTTTTAACAGATTCACTTAAAGTTCCTGGTATCCAAGCGCTACTGTTTACATAACTTGTGATGGTTCTTATGAAAGTTTGGAAAGATGTCTCAAAATAACAACTGGATCTGTTGAAATCCTTGGCACAGGAAAGCCACGAAGGAAACCTTTAATAACGGAAGTGTGAAATAGAACTAGTTCTGTAGTGAAAGATAAATGTGTTTGTCATGGCTCGTAGAACCTATGATTATGCTTGTACCTTTGCAAAGAAAATGTGGTTTCCCTAATCACTTTTTAGGGAAGGGGCTTAAACTGGTCTATGACCAACAATTGGGCTCATTTATGATCTCAGAAACAGGGGATAGGTGATACACTCGAAAATCCTTTGCTTAAACTGCGAGTTATAACGTGAGCGTCAAATTTTTCAATTTGGGAGATGGGTGCAATAACATTACCCTCGGCAAAGTTTTCATTCATTTCGCATCTTTAAGTCATCATGTACCAGAATTTATGTGCAGTTGGCCCTTTACGTCCTAATTTCTTCACTCCACAGAGTCCATTTATTTTACAAATCCATTCAGACAATCACGCCTTTTACATTCCATATTGCCAAGCGCACAAAATAGTCCTAAAAATAACGAAAAATGGTTATTCAACGTAGTTCCGCGATTAATTTCCGTATGCAAACAATATGCGTGCCAGCCTGGGCCATGCTTCAATCTACAAAAGAAACACTTTCGTTTCTGTGTACTCTGGAAAACACGAAGGTTTTGCCCATTACAGATTCAAGGTTGGAATCCTGCATCCATGCTGAGCTATACTGCTACCTGCTGCGAACTGAATCACACGCTTTCTTGAATTGTTTCAGGTTGAACCTTGGAATCATGAACGTGTCTACAGGACAGTCTTCTGAGATCGCTCTATTTCTTCTGTACGTGCAGTCGGTTGCCCTGTAGATGTACATTGTACTTCCAGTGATATTTTTGGAGAGCTACGTCGACTGTGTTGTTACGGGCATTCACCGCCATGCTCGGTGAGAAGTTTCTTGGACAAAATTTGAAATGGAAGCTTTTTGAGGACATTTTGATGACAGTGAACAGCATGCAAGACACGAATGTACAATGTAGACAGTCTTTACAAGGACTTGGGAACGAAGGGGCCGTCCAAAGTTTTCAACATTTTCACGGTCGCACAAAGGGTACGATCAAAGGCGACGGCACGACGTTGTGCCGTCGCGTCGTGCCGTCGCCTCCTTTCTTATTGAGTTCATGCTAAGATAATTTCGTCGCGTCGTGCCGTCGCGTCGTGCTATTTCTTGTTAATGTTGCATCGTGCCGGCGCGTCGTGCCGTCGTATCGTGCCCTCGTGGCGTCGCGTCTTGCCGTCGTGGCGTCGCGTCGTGCCGTCGGGGCGATGGCACGACGCGACGCTAATTTGGCGGGAATAGAACACCATACCCACAAACGTTATATAACAACACATCGAGCGGTTTGTTAATATACGAAAACAAGCCGTCTGAACTCGGCCTTTGTTGAGTTAGCACAGAAGATGTTACCCAACCAAATGGCGCCCTCCTATTGTGTCTGCCATACCTCAGATAGACCAGTAGGATGTTGTGACTTCCCATGTCTACGGCGTCTCCTTGGAGCGTTTTTATCGAACTTTGTGTATACATTTATGAATTTGATTCTAGTTTCCAAGTCTACCTTCAGATCGCAGCTCTGTCACACTTGACGCGCTGCTAAGAAAGAAAAATATATAATCAAACAAGCATGGTCGAATTTTGCCGTCTGCGTCTGTTTGTGTCAGTACCGGTACCGATAGAACATTTTCATAAGTTATGATTGCGTATTGCCCGTGACTGTTTGGGAATGCTGTCTGCCTCTCTTTAGGTTAAATTGCACTATCTAATGATTTCTTTTTACTTAGACAAAATAAGTAATCTAAGTATTATAATCTGTAATTAATTTTACAGCGTTGGAACTCTGCAGCTAAGCCGTTTAGGATTGCAAAGTGTGTATGTTACAATACAAGGGGGACATGTGCCGAAAAGTTTTGAACTGAATGAATACATTTTTAGAAATATGTGTTTGGATGTACCAAAGGGAAAACATTGTTAGGAATATGTGTTTGGATATACCAAAGGATCTATCAACCTCACAGCTATTATTAATCTTTTTACAGGTGAAATGAACGATGATAAGGGCAACAGAAACCCTGTAACTCCAGATGAGATGCACAAAACTCTTGACGAGGACACACAAAGACGTCTTCCAGACGAAGAATCTGTTTTCAAGAAAGTCTCAACTCCAGCTTAACCAGGAAACACATCTCTGAAGTATGATTATGCTGAGGTTGGTGGTAGCGTGGCCATTGCTATGACCGTCCGTTCTAGGGCATCTAACGAGGGATATGTTGACAGCCAAAACACTAGAAAGGAAAATAAGAGGACACCAACCAAACAAACTGGAAAACAATCCGATATAAACGGCCTACTTAAACGACCTCCCAGAATGCATCTCAAAAGGCACTCCGGTTAGGCTGTTCGCAGATAATGCATTTAAATATCGTGAAATTAGATCTGAGGAGGATTGTTCCATCCTACAAGCTGACTTAGATGCACTTACTAAATGGGGATCTGACTGGCAAATGGCTTTCACTACCAGCAAATGTTTCGTCATGCACTTCACAAAAAGGGACCTCCAAAAATGTCTCCTTACATTTTGTGTGGAGATCAACTCCAGACCACTGATTGTAACTCGTACCTGAGAATAAAATGTAGTAATAATCTAAAATGGGAAAATCACATTTTGGATGTTACCAGTAAATTTATGAAGACAATGGGCGTTATCAGGAGAAACTTCAAAACCTGTCCAGTTGGTGTAAAATCACAGTTATACAAATCATTGATTCTGCCTAAACTCATGTATGGTTCTGCTGCTTGGTATCCAACAACAAAGAATGAGAAATACCGTCTTCACATGATCCAGAGATCTGCTGCCCGTCTGTGTTTTTCAATGGCAATTCTGTAGGGAAGCGAGTGTTACTAAAATGCTCCACCGACTAGACTGGTCAAGCCTTGAAGTTAACCGGACGGTCGTTAAATTATCTCTGATGTATCGAATTAGCCACAACTTAGTTGAGATAAAGTGGGAAGATCACCTGTGTAAACCCTCTAGAAGCACCAGGCGACACCATTGCTTATCATTTATACAAATAGCAGCAAAATCAACCTTATGCGAACAGATTTTTCTCCCTGGACAATCCCTCACTGGAATAGCTTGTCACACAATATTCTGGACATAGATAAGTATGACTCCTTCAAATCCGCAGTAAGAGTTCATTTTCAGTAATTTCATAGCCCACCCAGCACCAGGTCTTTAGGTCATCTGATGCGGATACCCGTTTTATCAGAATCACAAATCCAGATCCAGATATGTTACATTAAGGCAAACCACAAAATTGTGGCTCAGATACTTTTGATTATGCTATTGTCTGTAATTCATCACTTTTTATCTTGATTTGCAGAAACGACAGGTGTACGTTAATGGCAAAATAGGTACAAAAAGTCACAAAGCATCGTCGGATCTGCCAACACAAATCCTGACATGTTTATGCCTAGGTTTCCTAACCTGTATACTTGTGCTTCTAACCTAGCCCATGGCGGACTTATATACCCAGCAAGAAATGAGACCGAGAGGTACCCTCCCAACATGTCCAATCCCTATACACATTCCAGACTACTGTTACTTAACACATCCCCCAAGATGTCTGAAAGGAATTCCCCAGATTCCTGCGAGACAATGACCAACAAAAGCAGGGGGGGTTCTCTTCCATCTCATACCTTGCTGCATATGCGGACTTACAGATTTCACAAAGAGACAATAATTCCAGTCCAGGAAGGACCGGTTACTAAAGAACAGGTGTTCAGTAAGGACGTAATGAGGCAGGTGCCTCCTGTCAATAAAAACCTTTAATACACGCTGAGTAGGCGAAACAAATTTATTCCAGAATGTGTGGCTTTGCGTACACTACACGCAGAACGCGTGCAAGAACCCACTTTGAAAACTTGTATTAATGCCATCAATCGTTCTTTTGCCGCTTGGAGGTTCACTTCAACTCGGGGCGGATAGGGTGTCGTGATTTTCCAAAAGCACGCGCGCAAGTGAAGGAATGAGCTATATAGTGTGGCGCCACCACAGTTTGATCATTGTCGCTTGGGACGCGTGACGAAAGAAAGGCATGTGCGTGCTCCGTTGTGTGTGTCTACTGGAATGTGCCATTGTTTTGAGCGCTATTATGAAGAGCGCCATGTTTGCAAGCTTTTATGACTTCATGCGGACCATTAGTGACCAGAGTATCTGCTGGCATGAAGCAGAGATGTGAATCTGGAGTGCGTTTATGTTAACGAACGGAATAAATTGTAGCTTGAAGACAAAAACATTCACGTCAAGAAGCTCTTAATCGTAAGTTGAACCGCCTACTGTAGACCTAATGATATAATTGAATTGAACTACACCGCACAACTGCCATGTTTATTTAACATCTTAAAACCAGACAAGGACCAGCCAAAGTTGTTTGATTAACAGTGCAGGGTTTGCATTGTGAGAAATGGGTTTGCAGGTACACCATGGAATCAATCTCTTTTGGGCGAGGTGCGGTTCTTAAAAGAACTGGTGAGTGTTATTCCGACGTTTCGGCCAGTGTGCTCTGGCCGTCCTCAGGAGAGTGTCCCGGACTGGAGTGGATAGCTGGTTATAAAGGTAATCCAAAAGCAGTGGAGCGGCTTGAGTGACTCAGTGTGTGCGCTGTTGCGGAAAGGTGTTGGATCCTGGAATTAGCGGGACACCCTCTCCTGGGCAGTAGGGTCCCTTATACCCAAAACCCATGCCCCCCATCTCAGGCGTTAGGGTCTTCTCTACCCGAAACCACCCCCTCCCCCCCGGCATAAGGGTCCCCTAGACCCGAACCCAAGGTTTCCCGCTAATTCCAGGATCCAACACCTTTCCGCAACAGCGCACACACTCAGTCACTCAAGCCGCGAATTCTGTTCCACACTCCACTGCGTCCGGATTACCTTTATAACAAGTTTTGTCCGGCACAATCTCCCGAGGCCGGCCAGAGCACACTGGCCGAATCGTAACCACAAACCCATTTCTCATATCTTTTCCACCATGTAGGAAGAAGGGGAATTTAAATCTTACTTTTGCATTGTGATTTCATTGCGCGTTCATGCGTTTTACTCTCATAGACACAAAATCGACTCCAGTAACATAACACGTGTGTGTTGCCTTCCACCGTCAAATCGCCCCGGGAGTGATTTTGACGGATACCCATCGCTTGGTGTAAGTGTTGACGCGCATGAAAAGTGCCTTTAGTTGTCACCGTTGAGCTTTAAAGCTGCAATTGTAAGATATCTTGTTTAAATCCTTGTGGTTTCGTCAACACGCAGGGTTGAGCGTGTCAATGGTTTAAATTTAGCTGATCGAGTTTTAATTAAAAAAGAAAATCACTAATGTGTGGCAAGGAAAGTCGGGATAGGAAGTTAATGAAGGTCCTTTTTTTCAGAAAACGGGACTCCTCGGAGCTCAACTTTAGCCTGGAGGTTTATACCTTCGAACGTTGGTCTCTTTTATTTGAAATCCTTTAGTTTCGATTTAAATCTATCTACCATATTTTCTTCCATCCAATCACTTCAAACGCAAAATTTTACACCAGTATCTTAGTAAAGTGTAATGGTACATTTATGAATGATTGAATACAAAATGATAGAAACGGAGTAAGAAAATGTTACAATATATGTGAATATATACACGATACATCAATTATTGAAATGAGCATTAGAATAGACGTCTGTTTGACAACAGAACTCAGCATTTTCTGCATCTCAAAGATTTTAAGGAAAATGGAATTGTCGTACATGCATGTGGTATATAACGTGCCGCGTAAAAACGTATACAAAAGCTATGAGATTTAAAATGTAAAAACTCTACAAAAACTTAGAGAATGACGTTTTCATGACGTCACCACAGGACCAATGCTTCACGAATCTACTTTTTATACAAAGTGTCAAGCTGATTTGACTTAAAACATTGTCCTAATAAGCGTGTAGAAGAAAAGAGTAAACACTCAAAAAATATACTAAACATTCCACTCACATTGTTAGCCTGTAAGTACAAATACGTTTTAACAGAATTTATAATCAGAGATATCTATCCCTAAAATGTGAAACGATAATAATTACATGTAATGTAATAAGTATATCTCAATTAATGATAAAGAAAAGCGTAACTGATAAAAAGCATTTTCAAATGTTCAGTTTGTATATTAGTAAAGAATGTACAAGATTGACACAACAGTGGCATAAATGGTTCGTAACGTTCAGCCGTAGTTCACCCGATCATTTCATCATTGAAGCTTTTTAAACTGACGAAAACGTAATCTGGTGAACTTTGTAAATATTTATGCTCAATGCTTTCAGTAGTAATAGTGTAATCAAATTCCATTTCATACCTAGCTGTAATGATATGCTCTTTCTCTCTGTGTATATTTTTTTCCAAGATATCTATCACTACTCAAGTAATTAACTGTTTTATAATAATCAGGTGGCCATTTTTTACGATCAGCTATTACCTTATAGAGACCCAAATGAACTCAAATGATATTCAAAATGGTATCATTACTCACGAAATTTGTAAGCATATTATTTTTACGCTGCAGAAGAAAACTACCCTGGAATGAATATCTAGACAAAAACTATTTAACAAATCCGCTCCCAGCTGAAACAAGAGAGGGCGTACTTTTACATAGCGAAAACCGAAAACAGTCCTTGGGCACGGTGTGCGTGCAGGACGCGCTGAGCACACGACCGATATCTATTTGAATCTTTGGTCTTTGCGCGTGCGCTTGGTGCGTGCATGGGCACGGTTGAGCGCGAAATCTGTCGACCCAATGCACGTTTGAAAAGGGTCGAAAGATTTCGCACGCTGTGATTGGCCAACGCGTTGCAAACTCTTGGAGATGGACTCTTGTAAATCGCCGTATGAATGCATTTCATCTCTTTACATTTTATTAATGATACAAAATGCCACATAATGATACAGAATTCTTTTTCGCACACGCATCAAACAAACTCATGAAAATTGAAGGGCATAATTCCACTCTTCAAATTGGAATGCTTCAAATCGAAGTAACCAACTCGACTACAGGGTTGCTCTCCGGGGAGATCGGTTCGTACTTGAAGCCAATTTTTTTTTTACTGTTGTTGAGCTCTTTATAATCATTATCTGGAACGGAGGAATACCCTTTCTTACAAATCTGAAAAAGAAAGAAACAATTCCCCAAGAAATGGGGGAGGGGAAGTTTTTGATACTAGGTCTTTTAACTTTCAATGCACAGCGTGGAGTACATGAATGCAAATGATTCCATTGATTTGCCAGTAAAGTAGTGAAGTAGGTGAAGGGTATTGAGGGAGAGATTGCCACAATCTCGAGACTCAGAAAGAAGCATTACCGAGACAGTGGATAATACACAGGGCAAATTTTCTGTTTGGCAGTAGGCAACATCGTCTGACCTGCGCTTTTGATATTATTCAGTGTAGATATTATGAAGAATCTGTACACACAGTATATTTTCCTCACAGCAAGTTATAAAATTGAGAACCACGACATTATACTTGTTCATACATTGGTTTCAGTAATATTGTAAGATGCACTTTGACAAGGCACTAAATCAATCAGGCAATGTGAAATGTGGGGGAAATATTTGTTCCTTACCTTTTGTTCGTCACTTGAGACAAAAGAAGTCTTGATTTTCCAAAACACCAAACGCGGATCCATGTTAGATGTGTCATTTTTCCCTAACAGGTGATGAGATATTTCACTATAGTATAAGTTTCCCAGGTTTATTAAACAAAAAGTCTTGTTTTAAAACTGAATTCTTTGATATGAATTAGTTTGTCAAATTGAATGTGTTTTAATTCCAGGTGGTGCTTTTTCTTAGTTTCTTAGCTACAGGTGTTATTTAACCCTAACCCTCCTCAATCCTCCAACAGGTGAAGGATTCAGGAGGGTTAGGGTTAAGCAGACTTTATTCAAGTAAAATAATTCCTTGACTTACCCGTGACCAGTGTAGCTAATAATGTCACCACAACTGTCGTTAAAGTTGTTAAAACCCCCAACCAATTCGTAGCCAGGGTAAATATAACTGGAACCTCAGATCTGTGGAAAAAAATGGTTTCATACTTTAAATTTACACCCCCCTTGACAGTCTTGCTTTTTTCCAATTATGTGCATGTAATTAAAAAAGTCTAGAGAAATTGGCTTGTTCAGGAAGGACTAGAGAGTAGCTAATTCATATCGAATTATGTCATTTTCAGCCCTTTCAGAATCCCTTTCTCCAAACTCTCCAACTCTGCTCTAATCTCAGTCTTTGTCTTCGCCAAATAGCATCATATTAAGCCATTCTATACTGTTCAATCTATTCGCCTCGAGTTGTGGTGCACCCCCAAGCGGTAAAAGAAAGACAAATGTAGACTATACGGTACGTTTTCCAGTGGGTTCTTGCACGCGTTCTGCATGTACACAGGTACCGTACACTAAGGAACAAATTCCTCACGCGTGCTCAGCGTGGTACGTGTCCCACGTCAAACTCTTTTGTTCCACTCGGAGCTGATAGTGCTGGAGTCTTGAATGATTTTCCTGTCACATTTATAACCAACCTGCCTATTTCACTGTCAGTAACATTGGAGAGTGTCACTGACAGTAACTGAGTTGTCAAAGATGTGGGTGTTGCCATAGTTTCGTTGATACTCGTGTAGGTCTCATTCAGACACCAGTCGGCTGATAACGGCAAGTTGTCGTGAGGGACTTGGTAGACAATGCAACCCACAGACATTGTCACAGCGACGACCAAACCAACCATGTAGCCAGTGACTACACTCTGCATTAAATCAGTTCAAAGAGATTAATGCATATTGTCTTACCCAACAATAAAGAATGTGAAATGGCATTGAAAGTATCCCCAATTATAAATAGATCAGAGTATTCTGATAACCTTTTTGCCATTTATATGTTTATTATGTTGAAAGAAAAAGTATTTGTTACTATCTTGGATTTACAATTTAGGCGTCACCGAATTGATTTGGATGTAAACATTTGAATTCACCTCTCTTTGAAGTATAAAGAGAGGTGATATTAACAACGAATTTTAAATTTAAATTTCATTAGATTTTCCTCCATGCAATATTACCAACTTATTAGTATTCTTCTGACTATATTTATGTTATATTAAACGTGTTGTCAAAACAAGGACACAATCATGCGCAAACGCGAGAGAAGATTATTTTGTTCTAGTATGCGTTTGTTTGAAGTTACTTCCAGTTCAGTATTTACATATTACAATCTGACTAATTAACCTACATGTATATACCTTTGAACCACAGAAAGGGAGGAACGCTCCAATAAGATACATGGAAAGTGAACCAGCCATGGTGCAACCTGTAAACGTTAATATTACCTAAAATACATCAAAAGAACAATAAAAAGAACATAAAAAAATTAGAATCAACTTGCAGATAGGAATGTGATCGGTGCTTTAGTATTTAGTCCTTTCTTTTATTTACTTAAACATGATTGATAACATTTTCCTGCAATTAATGACGTTTTTTGATATTATTACAATAATTGTAATTTTGTAAGGTTCAGTCGTCGCTTGTTGGTATGAAATAAAGTAACATGCATTGCAGTGAGTAGTGCAACCCGTCTGTGTAGGTAAAACCGCGCCTCTTTTCCCCCCTGTTTTCTGGCCTCTCTACCAATCAGAAGACTGGGTTTTGAAACGTAACACCTCATATGCATAAAATAAGGTGGCCTGTACAATTTATAGTAGGGCTGTTTATATGTTAGAGGGATGTTTTGTACAATATAAATATAATGTATATATAATAACATTTATGTATACTTTACTCTTATTACACTGTACCTTGGATAAGTACATGCTACTGCACATAGATAAAATGTGAAGAATTGATTAATATTTACAAATATGTCATTTTGGACACATTTTGTGGTAAGTTTTTCAGCATTAGGGAGACACTGGCTTTTAGGGAAACATTTCAGTGTCTCCCTATTTTCAAACTACCAGAGGGAGGTCGAGTTTTACCGTCCATATTTTGAGAGATGATAGTTTAGGGCCTAAAATGAAATCATACAAAGTTTGGTTCAGATCAGATTAGGGAATATTGAATTATGGGACAGTAAAGTTGGAAAAATTTTGTGCACGTCGTTCTTATGGGAATGTCTCCCTAATGACCTAATTAGCGGTAATTATAATTACGTTAATTCTCATTGTGTGCGGCGTGACTAGAACCCTGTGTTGACTCAAGTAGTAAATGGTTGAACCCAAACCATAGCAATGAGGTGTAGGGTAAAATGTATGGCACAAGATATAATTCTTGGGTCAGATACTGGCCGGGAACGTCTGCACAATATTCCACAGCACGACGAATAAATTTACTTTGCTACGCGTTAAAAATCCCCAACTGACGTCATGCTGCCCCCCCCCAAGAATTCTCAATTTTTATATAATGATGTATTTTACATTGAGGTTCCACAATAAAGAACAGTATTAACGCTCCGCTTTGATTAAATTTGCAAAACCGTATACATGTACAGGGTAACCGACGTAAAACACCAATTCAAAAGATTTTTTTAAAAATCAGCCAGAGCCAAAACCATATAGTATTACATGTACATGTACAGGGTAACGGGGCGTAAAACACTCTAGTTCAAAGGGTTCAGAGAATTAAGAAATTTAGCCAGGGACAACAGAGTGTTCTTCCTGTAACGATCAGATCTCGGTAGCCGAACGCAAAACCGTTAGCATGTGGGCGCCCTCTCTCCTTTTGTGTCCAAAGATCAGACCAACTCTCACTTCCAGCAGACACAATATGATCATTATCCTAATAGTCCGCCGACACAGCATATATACATACATATTACAATTAATATTATATACATTATATTTTATATTGTGCAAAACATCCCTCCAACATACAATCAGCCCTACTACAAATGGTACGGGGGAACTCCTCATGTTATGCAAAACCCAGTCTTCTGATTGGTCGAGAGGCCAGAAAACAGGGGAAAAGGGGCGTGGTTTTACCTATACAGACGGGTCGCACTGTATCCTTGTAACATCAAGGCGACATCTTTTGCGTTATGCATGACACAATTACTACCCTGACCCACCCCCCCCCCCAAAAAAAAAAAAACAACTAAAGAGAAATGTACCGGAACTGCATCGCCGATGTTGGGAATAATGAATGCCATTCCAAGAGCTGCGGCAGAGGCGAAAACGACTATAAAAAAAACAACAAAGGAGATTGCACACAGAATTTTTCTTAATACTATCACTAACTCCTCTCTTGGGCTGGCTAATTGTTCTCTGTTAAGAAGGCTTGAATCCATGGAAGTTTACGATAACAGAACAAGTTGCGATTCGCACTAAGTTCTTGCTCAGAAAACTTGGGAAAATACAGAACAACTGTGGCAAACTAGTAAGAGTGTGGCAGAATTGTTGAGCGGGTTCCGTTGAGAAAGAGGCTGGAGCCTTGTGGATAACGTTCCAGATGATAAACTTACCGATTAATTTGAGAATAACAGTGTAACTGTTATCCTGGAGACCTTTCCAGTATGGCTTGACGAAATGTTCACCCACAAGGGTAGCGGTTGCGTTGAAGACTGACGAAAGTGTACTGTAACACGAAGTCCGATAATTATTTATTCGTTTTCATAGTTTTAAGGTACAATCATTTAGTCACACGTGTGATGTGCATACCAACCCCCCAATGATGTCACAGTCATAAGCGTTTATCCGTCATTGTGATATGTAATTGAATGTGATATGTAATTGAAAGCTCGAAATATTGCAGCTTACCTCAAGGCCGCTCCAAACAGTCCTGTTAGAAGTAAGCCGGGAACGCCAGGTAAATCAGAAAAGACGTCAATAATGAAGTACGGTACAATCTATAGAGTCAGGTTAGCATATAGAAGGAAATCATTATCCCAAAATCCAGCTCGAACTATAGTTATCCTAGTTTTAGAAAAAGGAGCATTTTCATCAAGTTTCCTTAACCCCGTCACACTGGGAGACGGCTACAGCCGCGGTTCTTTGTGAGGATTAGTGCATATACTGGTACACGTATTGTACCGTCTATTCATCATGCGCCTGCGATTTCAATGTGGGCCTGCTGCTAAACAAGGCTTTGCATACTGGGCATACTGCAGCCCAGCAGTCACTGGCAAAAATCCCAGCGTTCAGAGGTTTTAACCGCAGAAGAACGAAGGAATGTCCATACTTTGTATGTAAAACAGGTAGGTGTGAGTACACCATAATGAAACACAATCCTAAACTGTACATGTCATCCCATTATTTCCAACAAGCACCACCTGTACCCACTTACCTGATCGTTTTTAGTTGTATATCCAATAGTTGTAGGATCACATCCCTCATAGTACGCATAAATGCTGATCCCCATGAAGAATAGTAGAATTTCGAAGGTCATGAATCCAACTACGTAGCAGATAACGGATCTGTAGGGAAACCCAAAGCGTACACCAATCCGAATGGAGAAAATGATTATATAGATGTAGTATTCTAAGGTGATGTTTTCTAAGGTATACGTGTAGTTGGAAACCAGCTGCAGTAAAATGACAAGTTATGAAAACAATTCGTAGGCAACCATTTCTTTTGTGAGACTTACGCTCTTGCCACTGTCTCGGACTTGCAGACTACAAGTCGTTGTACCATGTACTGATTGGTTATAAAAACGCCCATAAATGTTGTCTGGCAGATGAAACTCCAACCGTTGTAAAAATCTGTGAAATCTGAGTTGAAGCTGAAAAAAGAGAAATGTTAAATTCATTCCATTACCAATTATTTTGGTTAATCCCTAAAATATGCAACTAATGCTTCAAAATGTTACCAGAAAGCTAAGGGGTACATCCATGGATTGCTAAATTTTGTTTTCTTTTTTTATGAGATACAACCAGGTTACTTCATTTTCCCAGAGCCAATTTCAGCCATGTATGTGACAAAGTTAAACATGTTTCCTCATTTTGTCTCTTCGAATCAACCGCTTGATATGCACTTATTTCCATAGAACTCTGAAATCTTACTGGAGAAAGTTGGTCCTGGATCCTTCCGAAGCTACCTGCCAGATAGACTGAAAGCCAAGTTCCATTGAACATTTAATGATAACAGCTACAGCTGTTAAGACCATAAGGATCATTTGGAGACTGTCTGTCCACAAAACAGCCTTTATTCCTCCCTACAAAGACACAAATGAATGAAAATCAACAGTAAACACCTGTAAATTGCCATGTAGTTCCTCTTTTTTATAAACAATCTGTCAAAATCTGCGGAGTAAATCTGTAGGGGACAGGGGGATGAAGTATGACTAAAAAAACCCAAAATTAAAAAACAACAAACAAAAAGACGACCAGCCGCGGCAATTCAAAAAGAGGGTAGGGGTGGTGGAGTGGTGCTGTATTCTAGGAGCTACGGGGGAATGCCACAGTTTTAGGGATAGGATTGCTGAAAGCTGGAGGTGGTTCACGATACAGATGAACATCTTATGTACACTTACATCCCTGCCCAGCAAAGATATGGGACGGAGGGGTATACATATCCGATCTCAATACACACCCTAGAGCATCGTTACCTAACACATCCCCCTAGATGTCTGAAAAGTATTCCTGAGATTCCAATCAAACAATGACCAACACAAAGGTGAGGGGCGCTCTTTGTCCGATATCTTGCTTCGTACGCTAACCTTCCATCAAATGACGTTTTGTACTTTTCTTCTCTTCATTGCTACTGAATACATACGGGGGGGGGCTTTGTAGCTCAACGTTCAGAACAAAACGATAGGTATTCACCGTAGATTTAAACATGTTTTAAGTGATTTGGCATCAGTGTGCCCTTTCACAACAGAGATAATTGGTTGCTCTGTCGCAAATATTTAATATTTTTATTTTTGTCAAATTTGTGATGTTTAAAGCGACAAAAGTCATCATTGATTGCTTACAATAACAGTGTAGACACCGCAGATTACACAGAGACCGACAACGGCAGCTATGAGGTTGATTCCAGTTACTGCAGTAATTAAATAGAACATTAGTGATTGTTAGAAAATATACCATGACATATTTTTGTTTTAAATACGCCTCTTGTTTTTTTTTTAAGATGAAGTTTTTTTCACCAAAACTATGATACTAAAATTTCATGGCAAAAGTAAAAATAAGTACCACGCACCTGCGGTGGCAGCCACGCATGCTGTATAGGTGACTACACCAGAGTAGAGCACCTGCTTGGATTGATGTGTAATTATACTTGATTTTTACTACATGTAGATACTAAGAACAAAATAAAGTAACTTCCAACAAAAGCACGTTACATCATCACAGGGATGTTAAAAGCACCAAACAAACTAACGAGACTACAACAAAGTAAAGAAAAGTACAGAGTGACTGGTGCATGTTCAGTGTAATAAGCATAAAATTGCTTCCAGACTTGAAACAAAATTGAAAACATAAAATTACTTACGGTGAAACACAGGAAGGACATCATTCCACAATTCTTGGCAGTTTTGCTGAACCGTAATTCCAGGTACTGTTTTGGACAAACAAGAAGCATATAGGCCTATATCTTATCTTTACATAAATACCTTTGTATAACTATGGTCTATACGTTTCGTTGTTTTAAAGTTTACCGGCACTAATACTGCAGTATTTTAAACTAAAAAGGTTTTTTGAATGTAGACATCCCCCTTCCCCCAAATATATCGTGAACATTTTGCCACCCAACAGTCACTAAAACCACAGCATTGACAATGAACGTTACACTCCAGAAAGACTATTTTTATACGCCCACCTCATAGGCAGAAGCCATTCCAAGTCTGTAATACATTGGAAGATAGAAGATCAGGTTGAGAACAATCCCAAGGGCGAATGGAATAAGCATCCAGAAGACTGTGGGACCATGGTAATATACATCAGCTGGGTAGCCTTGTAGGGAGATTCCAGAGAAGAAACTTGCAAGGAGAGAGAGTGTGATCGGTACTAAAGTCATACTCCGATCGGCTAGAATGTATGCAGAAGAGGTGCGCTGCCCGCCTCCCTTTAGCCCGTAGTAAACACCAATAGCTATGGAAGCTAGAAGCATTATCCCACAGACAATGTAGTCTGCTGGTTGAAAGTAGGAACGAGAACCAAAGACTTCATCCATGTTGTGTATTGACTGGTAAACAGATTCGGATCCTATTGACGTGACTGTTGTCAGAGAAGTAAAGTTCTTGACCAGCTTGAAATTACAAGCCTCAACGCTGAATCCGTATTTGTCGAATTTGCCGAAATCGTCTTTGACGTGCCATGTTCAGAAATAATTGGAACCGTGCGTGTAGTTTATGACGCACATTCAAAATGCTCTAGCATGAGCCGCACATAAATTATGTATCATGAAAAAGTTAGCAATCGATAAGCCATAGGTCAAGTGGTACTCTGCGGGATAGCTCCTGAAAATCTCGCTGGAGTAGAAAACAGCAGGTGTCGGAAAAGTTGAACAACGGTATCAGATTCCTCCTTGCTTCCCAGTGGAGGAAGCAACATTTGGTAGACGAACATTCGACTAGAGGGCGGGGTATCGTAGGCAAGTGACCTTGGAGGAATCTGAACTATATGAGATAGCCATATTGGAATTAGGGGAGTGTTTTATCTCAGTGTTGCAATTAGTAGAGTACATAGTGCACTTGTGCAAACTGAATATTTTTAAAATGTCATAAAATGGGGGTAACGACTGCAAACTAGTACATGGAGTTTGTTTGCAACGGATATCTCACAGAACTATATCGAACCGAGTAAACATTCATAATTCACAATGTGCAAGTCAAATGGGGTTGATTGTTTACAGGCATATAAAAGAAAAAGCACCGTAACCAATTTATTAGTTATTTATATCTGTAGGGTACCCATTGAAACCTTTGCCCTGTTGTCTAATATTTTAAAGTCTATGTTATTTTGGCTTCAGTTCGACAAAGTGAATCAGCAATATGGTTCAATTGTTTCCACTTTGAACGTATTTGCAGGTATCTCAAAAAGTTGCTTTGTCATCAAGTTACGCTCTTGACCTGACCAACAATACTTGGGATTCTTTGCGCAACCGAAGTATCACTATAGATATGCAGTTTCATTTGCCTCTGAAACGGAACATTTTCTCTGTGATTAATTTAAACTGTATTTTGCATCTAATGATGCGATGCACGTAGTAAAGTGCCTTAACCAATAATATCCAGATATTGCTCAAAACGACTAACATAGGTGAGTCAGGTCTTGATAACGTATTAAATGAAGACAGGACTAATACTTAGTCAACAGTGACTGACTTCCGTCAAATTTGACTAATATTAAATTTGACTTATCTTTGACGAATATATGTTAGTCATTGGCCTGTCTAACTAATTTAAATTAGTCCTTGGCCCGTCTCTCTAATTTAAATTAGTCCTTGGCCTGTCTGACTGATTTAAATTGGTCATTTTAGACATAGAGCTGCACTAACTTTTTATTAGTCAAAATGACTAACTTTTCCTGCTGATTCAAGAAGCTAAATATTGTAACCATGCTATCTTGTATTAACATATAACGTGTTAGTTATTTATGTCCAATCTTGCATGAATTCGAATGTATGAATACGTCGTACATCTCAGTTAACACCTGTTGATGTGCTTGAGAATTGGAAGATAATTAATACACTCTGTTGGGGAATATGTACTTACAATAACTGTGTAGACAGCACACACGACACACAGGCTAACTATGGCGACCTCGACACGGATTCCAGTCACTGTAAAGTTCAAAGATAGAAGAGTATATAAATTTCCCCCATGTGGAGCTATACATGTAGCTTACCAGTTAAACAGGAGAGTAATGCTCTAGTGACCTGTCATTTTATTAACAATCAAGGTAGGTACAATACTAGGGCAGGTGTACTTCTTGCTGTCATCAGTGAACAAACTTTCTGTTTTTCAAGCTTGGAGTTACATGTGAATCTGAGATTTTTCAGGATCCTTATAAGTATACACGTATACCTGTGTTAGCAGCAACACTGGCTAGGTACGTGACCACACCAGTGTACAGCACCTGAAAGAAATAATGGGAAACTCATTAAGACAGCAAATAAAAATTAAAACTTGCTGATGAAAGGTAAAAAAGTTAGAGAAGTGGTAATTCAAATTGTGTTGATGGTAAAGGTAACAACAGCTGTACTGGTGTCGTGATATAAAAAATAAACTTCTGAACACTCAATTTTAGCGGGTTTTAAACTAGAAATTGGAAATTCGACTTGTTCAGTTATTATTAGTTATTTATCCAGAATACTGCAACCGGACCGTTTTAACAGGCATAACATGAATACAGCTTACCGCAAAAAGCAGAAAAGACAACACTCCACACATCTTAACTGCATAGTTGAAACGAAGTTCAAGGTACTGTTCCTAAATCATAATAAACTGTTATTACAGAAAAGAAGATTTCTGGATTTATATGGAAAAAATGTAATGGAACCCTACTGCATTTTGTAGTTAGTCTTTATTTCAGCGATTTTTAAAAAGCTAAAACGAGATTTTTTGTGCATCAAAAATCCTTGGACTCCAACCTTGTGCTTGTCATAAATGAGATTTAAAGCACAATACAGTAAAATTGACATTAAAAAAGATATTTCCTTTTCAGTGCTTTACCTCATAAGCAGATTGCGCACCAAGCCTAGAAAACATCGGCATGAAAAATACCACACAAAGAGTTCCACCGTAGGCAAAAGGAATGCTAATCCAAAATAGCATTGGACCATGGAAGTACGCATCAGCTGGGATGCCCTGCACAGCAATTGCAGAGAACAAACCAGCAGTAAGAGAAAATGTGACCGGGGCTGCTGTCATGCTGCGATCAGCCAGAACGTATGAAGAAGAGGTACGCTGGCCACCTCCTTTTACTCCGTAGTAAACACCAATGGCTACAGACGCCCGAAGCATCACCCCACAGACGATGTATTCTGCTGGTTGAAAATAAACTAGAGAACCAAAGACTCCTTCCATATTGTGCATCAACTGGTAAGTTGATTCGGATCCTATATAGATATGACGGTTATCAGAGACGTAAAGCTCTTGTGTAACCTGAAATTACCAGCCCCAATATTACACTTTTTCCCGCTCGATTCGGTCGAATGACGAAGAAAGAAATTATGCGTGTAGTTCATGGCGCACACTCAAATGGTTTGTCAATTATACATAAACTACACGTATTTTTTTTCATAAAACGTTATCTAATGAATAAAAAATACCGAATAAAGAGCCGTGGGACACGTGGTACTATGCGGTAAAGCTCCTGGAAATATCATTGGATTGGTTTTCCAGGGGACAACCATCTGCTATGTTGTTATGCATCAGTGCTATTTATTATCAGTTTGGATGTAGGAATTCATCTGCCCACGGAAAAACACAAAGGGAAGCACTTTTAGTCATTTCGAATATTGTTGCCATGACTACTGATGTAAAGGTTACTGTCGGAATGGTAACGTTCTCTGTAACGGTGTAAGGATGTTGCAGTTGCAGATGTGAGTTTGTGTCGGAGAATAATTACGAGTTACGAGATAATCCATGAAGGCGTAATCAGTTACAAAGATTCAGGATGGCTTTTCATTCCTTATTTTATTGAATTTGTTTTACTCGGATCATTTTTTCTACCGGTTCAAGAAAACTGAGATTTCTTCAACAATGGGCTAACCACTCGTTTCAATTACAGTACCTGTCACAAACCGTTTCCACGCAATATCTCTTGTGTTTCTATCTTTCCATATAACCAAATCGATTTTCGTCACAGTGTGCTGTTTATAAAATGCATGTTTACGTAACCACAAGCAAGCTTTTATCCATGGAAATTCTAAACAAAATATTCAAATGTCTAAGCTTTTGGACGAGTCTGCAACGTATTTCGGTGAAACTTGTTGCTAATTTGTCTCTGTGTCCTAAATGCTTTTCAGTGATTTTTGTGAACAAATTGTGAGACTTGTCTGAAAAAAAAACTTGGTGCTTTCTAATTAAATTCTTCAGGAATTTCTTTGTTAAATTTCACCTTCAGGACATGGTGCAATTACTTTTGGCATCTTAGAATGCATGCAAGGTATATTTGCATGTATGTCTCCCCCCTATTTTCAAATAATACATGTATACCGGGACATGTAGGAGGCCTTCAGAGATGCGTCATCCAAACCTTAAGAAATTAATATTAAACGGAAATCAATTATATTATTTCAACTGTAAAGTCAATGTTATTGATCCTGTACTTGCAGTATTTTCTTTATCAATACATTTCTCTAACTTATCCGTAATGTGGTGGGAGTGTCATTCAGTGTGTCCAGGACTGAACTCTTTCTTTTTTACCTGCAGCAGTTTGTGCATAATTTTGAGCATCTTTTAGTGTCATGTGCATGAAATTGCCACATTTAAAATTGACATTTTGATTTATAGGCATGCAGAAACAATAATGGTACATTACACTATAAGTGTGTACTCATTATTAATTTTTAAATTTTTGTTTGTCCCTTTTTGTGTTTATGTGTGTGCAAGTCTCATCACAGTAACAACTATAATTCATCGGTGGCACTGGTTAATTTGGTTGGTGTTTTGCAGAATTCGTTTTCCCTTTCCATGGCTTGTGCATTGTATTATTTTTCGTGAAGTTACGAAAGGCTGGGGCTTGTCAGTCACTGAGGGATGCAGTCCAGTCTGTGATTCAAGCTAGTTTTTGTAAATGTATACTGCATGGAATCAGAGCATCTGAGAGACATGTGTCACTTATGCGGACAGCTTGGAGCTTTTCAGAAAAGCCGCAATCCACATGAGAAAGAGAAATATGGATCAATGTTTTCCTTCCTCCATGGCCCAAAGCTCATGCAGCTCTTGAAAGAAACGCAGAACAGGTGTTGCACATTGTGATGGCAGCTATAATAAACTCGACTCATCTTTCATTATCACGCACGGGTAAAAATTGAAGCTCCAAACCTCTGTTTACCAACACTTAGCAATTACCATAGGGTGACGAAATCTTCCTGATACATTACAAACCTCTTGTCAGTATTTGTTTACGATTATATTTAGTGATGATGATGATATTCAGAAGGGACGTAATATGAGAAATACCCCTGGGTCAGTGACGTGAGGAGATTGAACGTGCTCAATTTGTCCAATCCACAGTCGTTTTCTCGTCATTACATGCATGTACTTGCAGATTGTTACGTATACAGGCCTATGAATTCGTCACATGAAAAGCTTCTGCTGCAAGATAAGCAAATGAGTTGTTACTTGCGGTATAAACCGTGACAAATTCTCTTGTTGTTTTGGATCTTTATAAACATTTGTCACAATGAAATGAGAGATTGGCACCGAAGTCTTGACAAGTACGAGACTGTGACATATATGTCAGCACCAATATTTTTCTTGTGGGTGGACTAGTTTTCGGCTCCTTATAAATTCCGCTGTAAGAAATGCTGTTGCACGTATTACAGCTTCGAGTGGAGGTATCTTTAGCTGGGTTGGAAGACTGTTCACTTCCCGCCATGTACTCGCGTGTTGCTCTGGTATTTGCTCTTCTCATTCTTGGACATACTGATGCTCGTTTGACAGCAAAGCAAAAACAAGACATTCTGCGATGGCACAATGACTTCCGTAACAATGTGACTCCAAAGGCTGCCAACATGGTGAAGCTGGTAAGCTTAACTCTTTTATTGTTTTTCTATCCTGGGCAACAGTATTCCTTCCTTGGGCATTGTAAGATAATGCATTTCTGTACAATGGTATCCAGGTTTGCTTGTCCACTGGCCATTCACCTAGTTTGCATTACTGACATCACCATGATCAACTATTGCGAACTTGCCTACAATAACCAGTATTTCCTTCAAAGCTGCACTTTCCGTACTTTTTCAAAGTATTGAATTTCGTTTTCGTGAATAATTATTAATGTATATGATGTCCTTTAAATCTTGTTCATGACTGCAGGTCTTTATGCATTAAAAAAGTGCCCCTTAGTATTGTGCTGAAGATCTGAACAGCTGAAAAAGTTCTGAACGAAATAGCTGTATTCACATCGAGTGACGTGGCAGCGTTCATTGCGCGACACGCGCTTTTCGATGCGATGCGATTGATCTTCATTTTAATGCTCTTAAATTTAGTATTGAAAATAACCGTTTGACTACTTATTGTGGTCCATTATTGCGAGCGATGATTATTGGAAAAGCTCATTAACCGTGAGAAGCCATCCTAGAAAATTGGCAGTTCTTCATTCTTCGAGGTGCTGTAGTACATCTATATGATTGATTTTTCCCCGACGTTTGTCAACAAAAGTTCGACACTTCCCTGTTAAGAACAAGTCTAAGGTACACAACCAGAGCAATGAATATGTAACATAGGCCTATTTGAAGGACTGGAAATTCATCCCAGGAAATTTTCAGTACAAACCCTACCAACTTTGTTTTGTAAGGCATGGGGTGACGATCTGGCTCGTAAAGCTCAGGACTGGGCTGACACCTGCATTGACGGGCACAACAGTGTCAAGTCCAACCGTCGTTGGCAGTGGATTGGAGAGAATATGGCTTTCAGCTCGGACACTGACCTGCGAGAGATGGTTAAGGGCTGGGAGGGAGAAAGGAAAGTTTATGACTACTGGAGTAACACTTGCCGACCAGCACCTGGAGATCCAATGTTGTCGTCATGTGGCCATTATACACAGGTTGGTAAAAACTTGGGTTGTGTCAGAGTGAATAGGCCATTTTATCCTTGATATCTACAGCTTTTTAGACTACATTTTAAAAACTATTTTGTCTTTTTAGATGGTTTGGGCCAACACCAAGTTCATCGGTTGTGGGTTCAAGAAAGGGTGCCCAGGAAGATTTCCTAATCGCCTAGTGTGCAACTATGGAGAGGGGTAAAGGAATATTCGAATTCACGTACTGCAGAGATTAAAGCTGTGTCTCATATTAACCCTGCACATGACTCTGTCATACCAAATTGAAAAAAGAAGACAATTTACACTAAAAAGTTATTTGCAGCTGATCTCTTGCCAATAACCAAACTAAGAAAGACCTGCAACATAAGACTTCCCTGCCACGAAACAGATTACTTGACAAATCATTTTAAACTTACCGACAGAGCTATGCGACAGAAGAGTGGGAACAATTCGTGTGAGTTTCATATTTCTGGTACATAAATTTAAATCGTCAAAATACAAAGTTTCAACATTGCCGTATTGCATACATGTATAAGACGACCTTCAGTGCTACGTTTACTACAGCGAAGGATGAGTCAAAGTTCACTAGTATTAGGAGCCTGGAACCCTCTCCCCATACCCCATCCCATATTTCGGGGTATTATGAATAATTTTAATATGTATACATTGTGGCAATTTAGCCTTTGGGCTACAAAACAGTGTTTTTAATAAACCATAATAATAATAATATGAAAGCGCCACTTCCGATCGTTTTTTACTTCAGAGGCAATTGGATTGGCGAGAAGCCGTACGAGAGCGGTGGTAAATGCAGCCAGTGTCCCCCTGGATATGGCCGTTGTAACAGGAAATTATGTCGTAAGTACTAGATTGTCCTCCATGGAAATGTAAGGGAGACGCAAAGTGCCATGGGCTAGTCAAATGCGCTATGACATGTAGATGCACATCTGTTTTTTATCTGCTGCATCACATTATAGATCTTTATCCCTGGCGTAGTTATGAAATCAGCAGTGAAATGATTCGTTGGAGAGAATGATTTTACAACAGTCAAACGAGAACTTACTTCATGAGCCTTTCTTTTACAAGTTTTACACTCGCAATTTTCATTGTCTCTTCCTTTTTTCCTACCTACAGTTCGTGGATAAGTAAGTGGACTCTTCTCCAGCAAGGGGGCATTGTGGGAGAATGATCCAAAAGCGGCACCAGGATTCAAAACTATCGTTTCCTTGGCTTACAATAAACACCCATGTTGATCTGTATTAAGAATCTACACCCATTTTATTTTCCCAGGCCTCGAACACTGGAGATTGCAGATACATGAACGATACTATCTTGTTGAAGAATCCATAGTTGCTATCTGCAGATGTTATCAATTAAGACTGACTTTTGAATTCGTTGACTTTTAGACAAAATCGCTTAAAAATTATAAATATTTCCTCCAAGACTTTCTAAAGACAATTTAGAACAGACCTCCGCCATGTAGATTAACTCTCTATTTATATTGATTGTTTACGCAATGAACAATAATCATACCTGTCTAAACAGGATAGGATATTTCAGAAAAAATCTCTCAGAGAATAATTTATAAATAGTTGGACATTTGAAATAAATAGCTAAAACTATTCAGGCCAAATATGATATAAAGGTTCCTTTATTTCATTTAGAGTAAACTCAGTGTAGGCAAGGCCTAGAAGTTATTTTTTAAAGTCAAATGATCTTGTGGACATAAATTCTCAGTTGATTCTAAAAGTATCCTGCCACTGATTTCGTGTTCGTTCATTTTGTACTTTGGAGTCTCGTCTTCCTTGTTATTTCTTTGTAATATTAGGCATGTTTTCCGGACCATCACTCCAACTCTGCAGAAAAACACTGAACTCGAAAAAGAAAAATCAAAAAACAACGAAAAAAACCCAACAAAGTCCCCCCAAACCCACCCAAACTAAACGCGTATCGTGTAGCCTACTAAACAGAAATATCAAACAAGACATTTTTGAAATCCAGTCAAACTATGCAAAATCTTCCTGCACAGTTGACTTTTTCAGATCGTTATTGATATATAGTTATATAAATGTCATGGGTACCTTGTCTATCTCTGCTGTAAAAAACATTGAAAAGACAATGAAAATATTTGATCTGATGTTGGTCCTCTGAGACCATGATTACATTAGAAATAAGGCTCTAATTGGAATGTTTTGTAAGGGTGAGTTTTGTCCAAGAATCACAATGAAGAGTGCTTTTGTTCTTGACGTGGTCAGAATGGAGACTCGCACATCTGAAAATCTTTGAGAAGTCTACGTCGTAAAATACCGTTTGTAACAGCAGTATAGTGTAGGGGGTGTCAGATGCCTCAGTCTGAGAGGTAAGCGGTAGGCCTGGTCTTGCTGAATAAAATTGAAAAAGGAGTCGTGTGTAGGGCCCTATATTCATATTTCAGGGTGCTTCGATGCGTATTATTGTACTGGCTCTAGTCGGTGCAATTAATACTCGCACCACGGTAGGCTGTTGATATTTGTATGATGATTCTGTGGCCTGCTCACTGTTTTATCATCGTACGTACACCATTTACACATAAAGCTACATCGTGGGTGTGTTGCCCTGCCTCCCTACAATGAGGCTTTCAAGTCTCATGGACCTGAAGTGATGAAAGTCATAATTCTAGGGGTACTGTTGGAAAGAGTTCCGTATCTGGCCGTCAACTATCTTCCTTAACAACCGCTGCAACATTCACAGTCAAAAATTCCTTCCACTTGATTTGCCACAATACACACACACATAGGGGTCATTTGACTAACTGTGGCTGATAGGCCTATGTCAACTTTGTCAAGGATGCATCTTTGCATCACTGTTGTAAAAGCATGGCAGTCTGCATCTAAAAGTTTTAAGAATGGAGAGATGGAAAATAAACCTCTTAACAAGATGTCTCACATCAAATAGTTTACATAATCCCGCAGAATCAAAACCTGACTCATGTCCTAATACTTGTCTCCGCAATAAATAGGCTGCCAACTAGTGTATATTATTGCCTACTTTTTCTACAGTGCCATTCTTTTCAGTCTAACAGGGCTATCCACATTCTACACTTTTTCTATATTTATTGTACATAACACAACGTAAACGGAAAATGCTGTGGTTATATGTCAGTTTAATACGTGTGCATGTGCCAGTGATACATGCTGAAGAAAAATAAATACGGAGAATTTAAACAAACAGTTGCATGCATTAGGCCTATGAAAAACAGTTTATCCAGTTGTACTTGAAAGGTATCGGAATGGAGGGAAATTGTGTCACTTGTAAGGTTGTGTCTAAATAAGAGTCGTAGATCCGAGTGTTCAAGTAGGGGTTAGGTAATTTGGTTCGCGAAATCCTGTCACCCGTTGACCCTGGAAATTAAGGCTTGACAATTCCTAACGTAGGGTTGCTGTTCACACTGTATATTTGCCCGTAACTGTAAACAGCTCTTCAACTGTATGACCCATCAAATAGATTTTGTCTAAGTGTTAAGACACACCAAAATAGTTGTCTTTCAGTTTCCCAATAATTCTGCGCTATGTAGATAGACAAAGAAACAATCTCAGCAAATTTAGAAATAAACACGTTAATGACAATCGTGAGTATAGAGAAAAGTTAGTAGGTACACTTTTAAAATTCCAATGCAACGATACCTTATAAACACGCGGTATATAAGTCACGTAATATTTTTGAGAACTCCTACAAAGTATTTAAATTTTAGTGACGCCCAGTATGCAGTGACTGGAATTGATTCAAAGGATACAGGGGACATCAAATACTTTTTTATTTGCCAGTTTTTCCCAATTAAATTCTATCATTTATTGACCGGATGAACGACGGCATTGAAGTGGTCCCAGCTCGTGCAGTTTAAATAAAGGCTTAATTTTTCAGATGCGCATCACGCCATAGTTTGACGGACCCTTTTTTGAAGAAGGGCGCATTTTCTTTAGCGTAGCTAAAAGCTGCTGTGAAACAGCAGGGAGGGAAACTCGAGATAAAGCTGTCACAACGGAGTAACTAGACAAGTCTATACGTATATACGTACAGCAATACCTATGCCCATCAATAATTCACTGTGCTAACGATTTCAATTTTAGGGGTTCGGGGCAACTTAATCCTAATCAGCTGGGAGAGAAGTGCAAAGTAATATGCAAGTTTTTGAAGTTGGTCAATTGGATAGAATGTCTTATTTGGAATTGCGAACGACCGACCAAGGGCTTCCAATGCGTGTTTAGGGGTCATTAACTTTATTACATGTCGTGTATATCCCTTTATAACTTGAGTTCCGTGGCACAAGTATTTCATATAAAGCGTATAAGCGACTTGATTCTAACCAGCAGGAATTACAAGTTGGTTATTGGATGGAAACTCTGATTTTAATTGCTAATGATCGACCGAAAGCTTTAAATTCAATGCGTGTCAAGGGGTCATTAATCGAAATTACATGTACTGCATCTCCCTTTCAATAAGAGCCTTACAGGATGAAAGTACTGTTAACTTGAACTTTTTGTCGTATCCAGTCAATAGAGTACAGATCCTCATTCATATATAACTTTCTTTGAAATGCATATATAGCACATTATAAACGCATTAAAAAAAGGAACGATTTAAATTGAAGTGATTCTTTCCATTAGTTGTTTGTCTTCAGGCGTTGAACCAATAGCTTCACTACTGTTGCAGATGTTTTCACATTCCATTTCTGGAACAGCCTTGTATCCAGTCCTTACTCTCTGATCGGAAGTAGAGAAATAAATCATAATCTTGAGGACTTCCATTTGACCACTTGCAAAACAATTGGTTCCTCATGCACTGAGCATGTCGTCAATAATTGATTCATGATTAATGATTGTTATGTTATTTCGTCGGTATGCTCACCCTCTGTGGTTTGCTTGATTTGCTGTTTTTAATCTTCCAAATCACTAGGCGCGGATCCATGTTGGAAGTGTCATTTTTCCCTAAAAACAATGGAAATAAATACCACATATATAATACATCCGAAATTAAACACATGAAAAATACAAGTTCTTTCGAGTTACTGTTGTTTACTCACCAGTTACAAGTGTCACCAGTAAAGCCACCGCCATGGTTGTCAGAAATGACAGACAAGATAACCAGGATTTCGCCAAAGAAAAAATGACTGGAATTTCCGATCTGTGGGAGTGAATAAGTCCATATTATCATTCCTGTTCCAGCCATCTTTTTCATAGTTACTTTCATAACCGGTACCTGTTGTGTAGTTGAAAAAATCGTTCGTAGTGTCACTTCCAGAGTAGGTTTCAATACTTCGGCTATTCATATAGGACAGAACTGTATGCATTGAACTTGCGGACTGTCTCTATGAAATCACTATTGGCCCACACGAAGATTTTACACACTCAGCACAAATTGCAAGAATTAAACCCACAAACCTGCTGCTATCGCTGTTTGTTGTCATCATCGACGGTGTTACAGTGGAGTTAAACCATGACCTCTCGTCCTTTGGTGATGATACAGTTTCGTTATAATTAGTGTCAGTCTCATTCAGACACCTGTCGGCTGATAACGGCAAGTTGTCGGGAGGGACTTGGTAGACGATGCAACCCACTGACATTGTCAAAGCGACGATCAAACCAACCACGAAACCAGATAAAGCACCCTAAGGGAAAGTATTCACGCAATCAGACCAGATCTCAGTTGAAATGAATTGTCTTACAACGTTTTCTCTGTACATGTATTGCTCAAATAAAAGGTGTAAATAAGGGAATAAATATATGCTTGTGGTCGGCCTAATGTTGATACACGGGCAAGTGACGTGCTTCAACCAACAGGAATAGAAAGCTGTCCCCGGTATTTATGAATGACAGTTCATAAATATCTTAGACCGTTTCCCTAGTCAACAACGCACAACGTGAATCGTGTGTAAACCTTTGATAAAACCTGCTGCGATTTTCTAATGCCGCGGACACCTGGACACGAGAGAGTTCAATCCATTCCTATTGGTCAAGACTGTGTGCGTCGCGCACGCAGAACTCACCACGCGCGCCAATTCCATATAAGGCGATTCTTCTGCAGTAATCAAAGCATGTACCCTTCCACGTATAAATTTTCCGGGAAAATGAAAGCAAAAAAGTGTAGGCGCTGAGAGAAAATGACGTTTAAATTTGTGCCTCTGTACATGTTCAATGGGCCGCTCAAGCTTTTTGCTTCCACATGCCATTTACGCGGATGCGCACATAAATTAGAATTTCATTAGTGAAGGGTCTATTTATCCCCTTATTAATGCATTCTTACTGACGACATACCTTTGACCCACAGAAAGGAAAAAAACCTGCAAGGAAATAGATAGCAAATAGACAGCCCGTTGTACAAGCCGTTACTGTCAGTAGCACCTAAAATGAACAAGAGGGGAAACGTAGAAATTAATCAAACGTGAACGAACTGAGACTCGAATACAGTTTGCGATATCCTACTTTGTGGGCATGATGATATCAAAACTACAGTTTGTTTTGAAGGGGATAGGATACCATTTGACTCGAATTTTGATTGTGTAAATTGGACCTAATTTAATTTTCCAATTAAAGTGTGGCGAAAAGCATTCTATATTGGATTTTTGCACTCTTTTTTTCTTGTGAGTCTTGTCGTTCAGATTTTTATTCAAAATTATGTATGCATTGGGTTAAATATTACCGGTATGGCATCCCCGATAGCTGGAATAAGGAACGACATTCCCAGAGCCAAAGCCGAAGCAGCAACAACTAAAAATACAAATTAGAAAACACACGTCATAACGTTGAATATCCTTTCCTATCATACCTGTGATTGTAGCGGTCACGGTTAAGGGGTGCCTTTCCATGTGTAAACACTTGCGCCAAGCGTTTCGTGTCTATCAAAATTGTGTTCGGTTGTCAAAATCGCCTCATGAGCGATGTTGACAGCCAAACACAACGCACGCACATTTGTGTTATATTAATGGGTCGATTTTTGTGTCTGTGAATGTGAAATGCATGAACGCATCATGTACGCAATACCCCCCTCCCCCAAATGTACCGATGCTTTTGAGGATGACTGTGAAGGTCAGATCATTCAGATTATTAAAAGCAGGCTTGATGAAATGTTCCCCGACCAGAGTGGCAATTGCATTGAGAGCCGAAGACAGGGTACTGCAGTAAAGAAAAGAAAATTGAACTAGTGACAAACATCTCATTAAAAAGGTATCTCTTCATATCAGGCGATTTTCTAACTTGCTTCTATATTATTGACAATGTTTGGATTTCACCTCAATGCAGCACCAAACAATCCAGCTAGTAGTAGACCCGGTACTCCTGGTCGATTGCTGAACACGTCAGTAATAAAGAACGGTACAATCTGTGTTAAAAGACCAAGAATTCTGATGAAGGTGCAATGTAGCTTGTCTTTTTCCATCATAATTTTTACAATGAATGCCATTCCCAGTTTCAACCAACCTATTTATACAAGGATTTTTGGGTCTGCTTTTTGATAAGGTGTTACGTTCGCTGTCTGTCTAGACTGTACAGTTCCTTACAAATCCTGGTCACCTACCTGATCACTCTTAGTGATGTATCCGAGTGTATGAGGATCACATCCGTCATAGTATGCATAGATACAAATGCCGGTAAACACCAGAACGATCACGTACAAGACGGTGATTACGAAGAATGAAATCAACGATCTGGGTCAGAACACACTAATAAACATTAAAATCCTGCTTTGAAAATGTCGACATACCGTTGGAATTAAAAATGATTGAAAACATTTCATGGGGTCAATGAAAAATAACCAGAAAGTAATTTAGGCCTACATACATTTTCCTAATCTTTACATAATGTATTACTGCAATAGCCGCAGGCAGGTAAAGTTTTCATCTTTGGCCTTTTAAAACCACACCCTTTCTTTGTTCAGCAGACTTACGCTCGGGCTACAGCTTCCGACTTGCAAACTACCAGTCGCTGTACCATGTACTGGTTAGTGATTACGAAACCAGCGAAGGTGGTGGAAGTGACAAAAGCCCATCCGTTGTAGAAATCAGTCAAGTCTCCGTTAAAACTGACAGAAGTCAAATAAGGTAAGTCGTCGGTATTCATTGAACACTTTATGAATGTGAACGAAAGGAAAGGAATTTAATAGACATCAATGGTTTTACTTTGACTTTCATCTTATCACACAACATTAGTAAAAAAGAGAGTGAATCAATATATTTTACGTACGTGTGTTACTGGAAGTCTCGTGCGACCATAGATACAAATTGCAACTCGACCTCATTAGATTTTTGTTGTACCGTGGGCCGGCTTCAGAAGTGTGTGCAATTTGGATCAATAACATAGAACCCATGCAAACAGAAACCAAAATACAAATCAGACTTTGATGCTACAATCATGACAAGAAAACAGAGTTTGAGAAGCCCTACTGCAAAAGATTTGTTCTTGAGCCTTCAGACGCTATAGTCCATATATTCTCGAAGCCGTTTTCAACGGACACTTTAATGATGATTGCTACGGTGGAAGTCAGCATAAGGAGCATCTGTAAGCTGTCTGTCCATAAGACAGCTTTAATTCCCCCCTGTCAGGAAAATGAAATATGCCTGAAGTTATTAGAGGATTCATGATCACTCACTCTACAACTAAATGCAACGGTAAATGGGGGGGGGGTGCGACACGGGTCACCCCCTCAAAAACGGGCAATTTTTTTTAAATACTGGCTAATATTGTGCTCTTACGTTCCTTCCTTGAAAAAGCGTGATAAAAGCCCCTTAATGTTACTTCACCTCTCAGAAAGGCCATACAAGTTTGCATTAAAAATACTTTCATTGTTTTGTCCCCCCCCCCTTAAAAATTGGTTTTGGTTACTTCCGTGCCGAACTTAATGAAACTGAGTGTGGCAATGGCGCGGCAAATCAGTGCCTTTAGCAGTGCGCTAAACGCCAAACTTCGAAGACCAATGTCGTGGCGCCTCTAATTAGAACAGCTACAGCGCTGGATAAGGCATTGACTCGGACCAAACGCCTTGGCACTGCCATGCCGAACTTATGTCTTGACAAACTTTTTGGCGTGACTACAGCGCAGCCGTGTAGGTCTTATATGTATCCACCAAATGACCTGGTTTTGGTCGCAGTATGTGGAGCACACCCAGAGACCTGAAGTGTTGATTTTTACGGAGACATACAACGAAAACACGTCTTAGAGGGGTACATTTACGAGTATTATTCATTAAGTCCAGTCTTGCATTATTTCGAATGTATGAATACGTCCTACATGTCAGTTAGTAAATCCTGTTAATGTGCTCGAGAATTGAAGATAAGAATACAATATGCTGGGGAACATGTACTTACAATAACTGTGTAAATACCGCACACTACACACAGGCTAACTATGGCGACCTCAACACGGATTCCAGTCACTGAAAAGTTCAAGGATAGAACAACATAAATCCCCCCATGTGAACTATTGCTTACCAGTTAAATAGGTTGGCAATGCTCAAGGGACCTTTAATTTTCTTAACTCCTATTCGATGTAGGTAAAATACTACGGCAGGTGTACTTCTTGCTGTCACTCAATGAACCAACGTTATGTTTTTCAGGCCTGGAGTTACGTGTGAATCTGAGATTTTTTAGGATCCATATAATTATACATATATACCTGTGTTAGCAGCAACACTGGCTAAGTACGTGACCACACCAGTGTACAGCACCTGAAAAATTTAATGGGAAAACCTATTAAGACAGCAAATACAAACGCACAGCTGCTAAATGAAAAGAAGTTCAAATAGTGAGACAAGTGATAGGTGGAAAGGCTTGCGGTAGCACCGTGCGAAGGAATATATCTCTAACTTGAGTATGTGTGGTTCTGAAAAGAACTGGGATAAGTATACAAGTGGTAATCCAATCCGTACAGATTAGTAACAGCAGGTCTGGTAATCCGTAGTGTCACGACATTAAACTTGTGAATTTTAGCGCGTTTTTTAAACTAGAAATTTGAAATTCGATTTGTTCAGTAATATTTATCCAGAATCCTGCAACCGGACCGTTTGAACAGGCAGAACATGAATTCAGCTTACCGCAAAAAGCAGAAAAGACAACACTCCACAGATCTTAACTGCATAGTTGAAACGAAGTTCAAGGTACTGTTTTGAAATCACAATAAACTGTTATTACAGAAATCAGATTTCCCAAATTCTGTGGAAAAGATTCGTAATGTTTTGCTAAAGTAAATCGTAACGTCGGAGTTAGTTTTGTTTCAGAGATTTTAAAGCTTCTATGAAAAGAAAATGATTACGAGATGAATAAAAAGCTCAAACGAAATTTTTTATGAATCAAAAGTCCTTTGACTTCAACCATGAGCTGGTCATAAAATGAGTTAAAGCAAGTTAAAGTTAAACTGCCTTTTTTTTCAAAAGATACTTCTTTTTCAATGCATTACCTCATAGGACGACGCCATACCAAGCCTATAAAACATCGGCATGAAAAATGCCAAGGAAAGAATTACACTAGAGGTAATAGGAACGCTCGCCCAAAAGAACACTGGGCCATGGAAGTATGCATCAGCCGGGATGCCCTGCAAGGCAATTCCAGAGAACAAACTAGCAGTAAGAGAAAGTGTGACCGGGGCTACTGTCATGCTGCGATCAGCTAGAACGTATGAAGAAGAGTTACGCTGACCACCTCCCTTTACTCCGTAATAAACACCAATGGCTACAGACGCCAGAAGCATCACCCCACAGACGATATAGTCTGCTGCTTGAAAGTAGGAACGAGATCCAAAGACTCCATCCATTTTGTATATTGACTGGCGGGTAAATGGATTTGGATCCTAAAGACGTGAGTATTATCAGTCAAGCTCTTTGCCAATCTGAAATCACCAGCCCAGACACTGAAAACGATTTGCCGAGCTTGATTTGGTCGAGTCACTTGGAAAAGAATTTGAAGTGGTACGTGCAGTTCACATTGTGCACTAAAATGTAACACGAAATGTACGTTGATTTTATATCATAAAAAGGTGTCTTATAAATCAACAAGCCATGGGTCAAGTGGCACTTAGCGGGGGACCTCCAAGTAATCTCTCATTGGAGTAGAAAACTGTCGGTGTTGAAAAGTTGTACAAGCACAGTTAATGCATCATTTCTGATGTTTCGATCCTGTACCTGTAGTTTTCCAGAGGACAATAATCAACCATTTAGAGTTGCTGTGCATAATCAGTTTTCTTGAAGGACATTCATCAACCCACAGCGATTTGTAAAAACATTTTTCGTCATCGTTTTCAATACTGTTGCTATGACGTACTCTGAAATGTACACTACTGTCACCATGGTGACGTTCTTCGTAACAATGTAGGAATGTAACAGCTGCTGAAAATGTGAGTTTGTGTCGGAAAATACTTACGAATAACAGGATACCCCTTGACCAAACGTGTTATCATATTCCCAGGATCCAAGATGTTTTACCATTCACTTGATAGCTATTTCATACCGAAATTTAATTCTCTTGTTTTGCGATTGTGTTGTATAAGACCCTTTCCCTGATACATTAACAGAAACACTTCACAATCTTTTTCTTTTTCGACATTTCGAGCAATCAAAATGTCATAGGCGGACTGCAGCGTTTCGAGGGTAATTTGGGAATAATAAGAGGGCGAAAATGAAACAATTCCCGGTTATATACATCAATCACCTAGTGGCGGAATTGGGAGTAGGGGTGATTTTCAAAAAGTGTCCCGCCTCAGAAAACTGCATTTTCATCATGAAGAAAAGTATGATACTTCTTATTTGTGTTATTTAAATTTAGACAGGCATGCTTCAGGTCACCAAACCAATAAACAACTCATATATCTCACGGAATAATTAAAACCACTTGTCAATTGACATGCCCGCGAAGTTGAATTCTTTGCAAACTTGAAACACATCGGAGTATCAGCTGCTCATAAACGCGAGTTACATATGATCAACCACTTAATTCACGTTCAAGTTATGGAGGATGTTTAAAGGTTAATAGGATTATTTTTGGTGCTACCTATTATCTGTTGACTTCAGTTTGTTGTTTTTATTGAAGTCTAGATAAAGAGGTTGACAGGTAACAGTGAATGCGACAATATACACACAAAATGTGGCTCACGAACAAATGTCCAATTCAGTCAAGGCACTTTACAAATATCACGTTCACGTAAACAGCATATTAGCTGAATACATTACAAGATATGTATATCCAGTGTCATTGGGTGATAGAATGGATGTTCCAACTTGTCTAATGATATTCAGGGTAAAACCAAAATGAACTTCAATGATATTATGAATAAAAGGACCCCTGAACCCCAAATAAGAACGATGTTTTAATAACAAACGGTCCAGGTAGATTTCTTGTTCTCCTGCGTTTCGGATACCACTGTTCCAGAAATGAAATTGATGTCACATTATGGTGACGTCATTACATGTCACGTGACATCGCGTCAAAGGTGCATTTCTGCAATGACCTACATCTGCAGAGGTATAAGTCCAGTAGGGTTCAAACTCATGTACCTAGAAGAGGACGTCTAATATAGATGAATATTGAAGGGAGGTAAGATGACGTCATTAAATATCGCGTTACGTCATGTTTAAGGTGCGTTTTCTGTGATGTATATCTACGCAAGTAGAAGACTGATTCACGTTTACTTAGATCGTTTTTCATCTTATAGTAAAGTTCAAGAATACCGACTTTTTTCAACGATGGAGTAACCACTCATGAGTTGCATATTAATAGTATAAACTACCTATCTCTCTTTCAAACTTTCTTCCTTCATCAGGTTTACCAAATGGATTTTCCTCACAGTGTGCTGTTTATAAAATGCATGTTTACATAACCACCAACCAGCTTTTATCAACAGAGAATCTGAACAAAAACATACAAAATGTCTAAACAATTGGAAGAATATTCTCCGACGTATATTTCAAGAAAGAAACCCCATATATTTATACGAAGCATGCATGCTTAGCTAAATATGGCTTCGGCAAACAAGATCTCCTGGGAAAAATGAGTTTTTCGCAAGGATATAAATCTACAATGGATCTCGGAGATAATTGTTTGAAGCCTCGTTATAACTCATGCCATTGAGCGTAGTCTTTTTCTTCCTTTTTTGAGAATTCAACCTGTAAATTGTACGCGTCTGTTTTTGTCTCCAGATATTAACGTTTTGTGTCTAAAGCACATGGAGCTTTGAAATACATGGTTGAGGAGCTGCAAAGCAGTGTAAGTACTTCTATCAGCGTTTACTATGCGTGCTATTTTCACGAAGATCGCACGAATCGGAGCGTTTTCAAGGACAGACAAAAGTGTTTGTTTTCAAAATAAAAAATGTAATTGATGTTTATAAATATTATTTTGTAGTTTTGTTTTGCTCCTTTTTCAGGAAGTATCATTGCTTGAGTCAAGGGAATGCTAATGTAGGCCCAACCCGGGCGAACTGTGCAAAATATTGTTCCTCTATTCATAATGACATAATGTGCATTCATTCATTCATTTATTACTTTACCACATGGGAAAGCAATAATGTGAGTATAAGCATGAATATTGACATAATATTTACATCAATAATTAATATCCCTTAATTCATAATTGCATTATAACCGGTGAGATAACCTGACAAATATATAAGATATATATACATGAGATGTGATGTAGGCCCTAGAAGGGGATCCAAGAAGTAGGGCTTATCAAGTGGGATCCCCTTGAACTAAAATAGCTACATTTTAACGATGACAAAAAACAATAATAACATACAAATTATGCAGTGTTTACCCTTGCCGTCAAAAACGTTGAATGAAAAAAAAAATTTATCGGCCCCCAGAGATAATTAGGCTTTAATTGTTATTTTCTGGTACTGCTGGTTTCGCTCGTCACTCCACGCCCATACAGGGCGCCGAGAAGAGCTAATCCGTTTCACACGGGGTCACGATTTTGCACACGCAAAACATTGCGAGATGTAAGCACAGATGCGAAAGCGGCTCAAATGTGCCATGATAACGTCCTAATATAATCCACAACTAATTTCCGTAACAATTAGCAAAATGTAATGACAAAATGATTTACCCAAGAATGTTTACAAAGGAAGTAATGACCTCGCGGGTCACAGGCCGTAAAAAGTTGGCCGATGAGAGCTTAAAAGCGATTGGCCCTAAGGTTAAGGGAAGGCCTCCCAGCGTCCTCTGTGGACGCTAGGCTGAGTTCAGGCGGTTTGGTTCTCGAACAGCTCAATTTAAATTTGTTGTTGGTGTGTCGGCCGGTCGAACGCCGGGAACCTACAACCAGTTACTATACTGCTGGCTGTTTAATGGCAAGCAACATGCAACATTAATTGCGGCGTCCATGTACAGTACGTTATTCGAAAGTTGATGCTTGGATGGGCTAAATTCTTTTCTATTTAAACAGGAACATTCATTCCTCTGTTATGAAAAATAATTAATGTTAATTTTAAACTCCCTTTGTTTGTGGCTTCGAAGCCATCTCTCTACTGCTGAGAGGTAAGCTTTAATGCCTGGTCTTGGATAACAAAATCCCTGGATGCTCTACTTGCAGTTGTTGAAAAACAAAAATTTCACGAGTTTTCGAGTGTGTTCCTGTAAAACCCTGGCAAGCAGGTGGTGTGATTCTGTTCCGAGAACAGTGTTCTTGGATAGTTTTCCCGCCGTTCGAGCGCGAGAACAAGAAACAGACAGACTGCCCGAATTCGACGGCAATGGGCGACGAGGGAAACTGCTGGTGAGTTTGTCTCAAATACCAGCGGAGGGCGCTGTTGTCATTGACATTATCAATGTACATGTACATGCCCAAGTATTATGTATGCATGTATGATCTACTGATAGTACATGTGTAGTACTATGGTGAAGTCCTTGCATGACTGGTAATGACCAGACGTCAGCTTCTTAGAATTCCGTTTGTGCCTACTGCTGCAGTTTGAGAGTATGCTGAGAGGTAAGCTTTAATGCCTGGTCTTGGATAACAAAATCCCTGGATGCTCTACTTGGATGTTGTTGCGTTCTCGTGGCACTACCACTGACAGTATCCGGTATCCATGGTAAATTCAATACGCAGGCTAGTACTGCCCGCTTATCAATATCAGTCACTGTGGTATGGTGTATTATAATACTATAATAGGGTTTCGTAACATTTGCTCTGCCTGTTTGTAAAGAGGGTGCAAGCCTTATAGAGTTGAAGTAGTGAAACTCATGGAGTCATTCGTGTAAATTTAACAAGAATGGTAGCCCAGTGTGGCTATCAGACATTACGATTATTGTCAGATAGAATTAGGGGACTCTCTCTGTATACTATACTGTAACAGTTAATACCAGTGAATACGGCCTATTGTCTGTGAGTACAGACAGTAGGCCATTTGTGTTTTGACCTAAGGTAATACCTTTGGCCCTTTAGCTTGATATAAGGAAGCAGATTTGGGAGGCCGGAATGTTGTAAGAAAACTTACTTGATGGCTGCCATAACTTACAAGGTCTTGACTTACAAATGAACGTTCCGTACACAGTTCATTTAGACTGCCTCTTTTCCCATGTTTTCTTAGCTGCTAGTGAAAGAGGTGGTTGAAAGAGATGCAGTACATTGTCATAGAAAGTCTAGAAATATCTCTCGGCAGAATCCACTCCAAAGTACATGTAAGGGTCTTCTCATAAGACCAATACTCTACATGTAGTAATCAATCTTGCCAGCATTGTGCAAGGTTACGATTCTACAAACTGCCATTTTTTTAATTCATCTTGCGATAGTAGAATCCATGTGATTACTGTAAGTACTTCACCCACCAAAGCCAATGACTTGATGTTGTGTTTTGAAACCCCATCCAAAGGAGCAGACTCAAGTAGACTTACATTATTAAACAGGCAACAGGTACTGTGTTCAACCATGTCCATGGTTCATCTTCTGTTTTTTAGAAAACAAGTAATTTCTGTTTTTTTACTCCTTTGTGTGGTATCCATGGAGCTGCTTCTCTGGTTCATACCCATTGCAGTTGCAAATGGTTTTATTCGTAGGGTAAACATGTAAATGTACAACTATTGTTATACATGTACATGTACATGTAGCTACACCGGTCAGGGATCTACACCACAGTATTCTACTGTCCAGCACTAAGCTTGGTGAAACTGCCCGCCGACCGGCATAAAAATCCTTAAAAATTCCCCCCTTCCAAAAAAAAATTTGTTATGAAAATTTCATATTTCACTTGGAAAAATTAAAAAAATTTGCACCCATTATCAATTTGGAAAGAAAAACTCACCCAAAAAATGATTAGTTCCCTTAAGTGGGCCCCTGGACCCTTGGTCATAACCTGTGAAACTCCGGTCTCCGGTCTTCTGTCTCCCTTTACTAAATTGTCCTGCACTCAAATATTGCTGACTACAGCCATAATACATTTTCATACAGTGGTCAAAATCTGGACCTACTTGTACATGTAAATGATTTGCTTTTCTTACTGAAGGAAACTATGGATGGCTATAATAGCAACATTGAAAACATCAGAAAACAGGAATTTCCTGGACTTTCAGGTAGGTGAAACAAGTTAAATCAAAGATTTCTCAATGCTTGAATTCTCTTTTAAAAACTGACATTGTTGCTCATAGATTAGGTGGCAGCTTTTAATGTTGTTACACATTTTGCATACAGTCATTCAAAGACCTGTGCTTGAAAGTTCTCCACTGACAAGCTGTAGATTCTGAAGCAATATTTCACAATTTTCAGACCGCATACAAGTACTCTTGTAACTTTGTGTTTAAACTTGGCAGATAATTGTAAAAAAAACTCACATCAACATGATTGTATCTCTGATCGTTTTGTGAGTTTATTAGAAAATTATATTCTTGTACAAAGGTGACTTTGCAAACTGCAAACACATGTACATGTATCTTATCCGGTAGGTTTTGGATCTGGATTGATTTGTTGATAACCTTGATGATGTTTTACCAATCACAGATATAACTTACTTGGATCATGCAGGAGCAACCCTTTATGCAAAAAGTCAGCTAGCTTCTGTGCAACAAGATCTTATGAGTCATGTTTATGGTAATCCACACAGTCCATGCGCTAGCAGTAAACTCAGCACAGACACCATAGAACAAGTCCGCTACAGGTACTTGTGTGCACAAACATTTATTAATCTTAACTTTGTTTAAACCATCCAGCACACTTAAAATTTGGCTTACAGGAAACTTCATTGTATCATCAATGTCTCTTACGTTACACTCATACCAGGGTAAGCTATTACACCAGTAAATGTTAGCGCTGAAGTAATTTTAAATTTCATTTGGTTTTTTTTCTGACTGCTTTTATCTGTATCTGTTAATAACCTGTAAATTTTCACTGTACAGTGCTTTGTGATGTCTGTGACATTGGAAAGCGTTTTTAAAGAATTACTATTCTTATCATTAAATGTATTACATGTATAATAGAGAAATTTCATATTTGTCATCTTGATCGCTAATCTCCACATCAAGCCACATAAATTAGTTAATCGCTAATCAGATTTTGGTTTAACTTGTTTATCATGTACCTGCAGAATATTGCAACATTTTAACACGTCTCCAGAATTTCATTCTGTCATCTTCACCGCGGGATGCACAGCAGCACTTAAACTCCTTGCTGACAATTTTGACTGGGCTTGTCACAACCACCTATCTCAGCTTGAAGAAACAACACCAAAGTCAAGTAGTAGCCAAAGTCCAGAAAATCCAGAAGTCCAGTCTTGCTTGAAACAACTCGGCAATGTCTCACAACTGTCATACACAAGTGTACTCCCTGAAAATCTCAACCAGTATTCATACCAAGTCATCAGCAACTCATCACAGGATAAAGTGCAGTTGATGTGCTCCCAGCATGCAATGCAAAAACACCTTTCCCAGAATACAATGCGAAAAGCAGGGCTTTTCTGCTACCTCTTGGACAATCATACATCTGTCGTTGGGATGCGGGAAATTGCTAAATCAAAAGGTGTAGATGTGTTTTGCATCACATACCAAGATATCAAAGGCAACACTGACATTCTGATTAGAATGTCTGGAAAGTGTTTTCAAGAACTTTGTAGTTCATGTAATCACCCAGAGAATTGTTTTGTAGTCAAGGAAGGACCAAGGAATTGTCTGTTTGCATACCCTGCTCAGTCAAATTTCTCTGGTGTCAAGTATCCTCTTGAACTGGCCAGTGAAGTCATAAGTAGTTCTGATTTAAGCCCCTTAGACCACTGGGCTGTTGTTCTTGATGCAGCATCTCTTGTTAGCACATCTCCTCTAGATCTGTCAGAGTGTGAGGCAGATTTCATTGCCATCTCCTTCTACAAGATGTTTGGATTTCCAACTGGCCTTGGGGCTCTGATTGTGAGGAATGATTCTGCTCACTTTCTACACAAGAGTTACTTTGGAGGTGGCACTGTGCAGGCTTATCTAGCACAACATCAGTTTAGTGTCCCCAAATCAAGTCTCACAGACCAGTAAGTATGACTCAACTACATGTATTGACAATGACCTGCTCAATCCTTAACTCTGGTTACAGATCTTTGCTAATGTTACCTTCCTATGTCCCAGCCGAAGCAAATGTGCATTCAAAATATGTGAGATTATAAAGTATCTATCATACTTATAAATGACATCAATAAGATGTGGTTTTAATTTTTTTTTGCTATGTACCAGTTATGAAGATGGGACCCTACCCTTCTTGGACATCATTGCCTTGAAGCATGGTTTTGATACCCTTGAAAGACTAGCAGGTATGTATAGATGTATGGAGGTTTTGGGAGATAATTTAGTTGCCCAAGTTAAACGTGAGAGAAATTTGATCAAGCAATTTCCAAATAAGCTTGATATACAGATAACTGTCTGTCAGTAATTGCAAAAACAGAAAGTTATCCCCTCATATTAGCTTTTATACCTTTTAGGTTTTTACATGTTATTGAAAAACTAGTTTTTTGAGAACTGTTTTGGCTTTTTTGTTAGACATGGTTTTGTCTTTCCTTAATAGTTACATGGGTCAACAGTTTCTTCTGCAGAAAAATAACAGGTTGTAAAATTTACACATATAACCACTCTTGCTGTTTCTTTGAACTTGTTTCCATTGAAACTCAGGAAACATGTGCTCCATCTCTGACCACACCTTCACTCTTGCAAAATATGTCCACCACAAGATGTCTTCTTATCGCCATGCCAATGGCCAACCTGTTGCCAACCTGTTCTGTGACAATGACTTTGAGAATAAGGAGCAACAAGGACCAGTAGTTAACTTCCTGTTGCTGAGATCTACTGGAGAGTTTATTGGCTACACACAGGTAAGAAGTGTGAGAAAGTTATGACGAAGATCTTACAATGACACTTTGAGCATATTGCTTCACATCATCTTTTCTTGGTCTTCATATGTTATGCTTTGGAAATGAAAATGTGGACCTCCGATTTCGTATCTTGTGTGCAAAACAACTGCGAGTTATGACCTTGTTGCACTGACACGATGATTTGTAAGAATCAGCGTCCTTCTTAAACTATTAAGCTCTCTCTTGTGTGACTTTGCCAAGAACTTTGTGCAATCTGGCATATTCTTTTTTCCCTTAAGATTGAGAAGCTTGCATCACTACATGGTATCCATCTGCGTACAGGGTGTTTCTGCAATACGGGAGCATGCCAAAGACACCTTGACTTAACAGATGAACAGGTGCTCAGCAATTTCCAGGTATAGACAAATACAGTAGAAAGAATTTGAAGTTATTTCTTGGGTCATACCATGTAAAGGTTGTATGCATCTAATGCTTTGTTGACTAGTAGTGTCAAGGATGTTGTGACTTGCCAATGTGCTCATGAGCCTAAAGTTGAAGAATGTGAGCACTAGGCATGAAAGTGTCATGCCACTGTAGTAATGGGATTCCCTTGGATTCGCTGATAAATTGTTCAAGTTAATTGGGAAAAATATCAGCCAATTATCAGGATGGTCCCTAAAAATCTGTACCCATGTTCATAACATCTAGAGTTGATCTGACTTTGTTGTGTTTTTCGTGGAGACGTACACATCCTTGATTTTCTTTTGTTGCTAAATGGCATCATGTTCTTCCATGGCACTGATTTGTTGGCTGATTTCAGACAGGGCATGTTTGTGGTGATGAGGTGGACATTATCTCTGGCCAACCAACTGGATCAGTTCGCATCTCATTTGGCTACATGTCCACTCTTGCTGATGCTAATAAGTTTCTTAGCTTTGTGGAAGAATGCTTCATGGAGAAATCAAATCAAACTGACTCAACCAAAGAAGTTAACAGTTATGCAGTGAAAGAGCAGACATCTGATCAAGATGTGAATTCCATCAAGGACCAGTTTCCTAGCAGCTCACAGAACGATAACCCAAGTCAAACACATGATGTTAAGTCTGAGCTAGACGAGCTAAGAGATAATAGTCAGCAGTCTTGCATCACTAGTCCTACTAGTATCAGCCTACCTAGTATGGTGGTAAAGAAGATCATACCATCTGGCAAGAAAGTGTTGACCAATATCTTCCTGTATCCAGTGAAATCATGTGGAGCATTTGAGGTGAGCTTAAACTGGACAGTGATCCAGTGCAGTAATGTAGGGCATCTGTCAAATTATCAACAGAGTGTAGAGGTTATTCACTGATGTCACGTTGTCACATGACTTTCAACTCGCCTGCCATATTAGCTGTCAAGCCAACACTCATCAATCACTGAAAAACTACAAGAGATTGGAAGCCTACAAATACTTTGTTGCTGGATTTGTGAAGGAACTGGGAGTTTGTAAGAATGTCAGTAACACTTATGTTGTGATTTTTTTAAGTATCTTCATGATTGTAGCACCCTACGGCACAGCAAACCTTCACCATTTTACAGCAACATCGAACGAACTGTGCTTGTTTGTGTATTTACCATGCATGTGCTTGACAGCCAGTATGGTGGCATAAGTGAAAACACGGACTGTATGACGCCATGCAAATTTCCCACAGTTATTCAAACTGTAGTTGTATAGTACCATTTCCTTCATACTGTACGTCGATGGAAAGAAAAGTTTGATGAATTTACAGGCATTGGTTATTGAAGAGCATGCACTGTATGGCTGTACTGATTGATTGTTTTGTTGACTGTGTGTACACGTAGGTTAGTGAATGGCAGATAGGTTCAAAGGGATTACTGTATGACAGACATTGGATGGTGGTGAATGAGAATGGGGTGTGTCTTAGTCAAAAGAGGGAGGAGCGACTGTGCCTTATTAAACCTGTTGTTGATCTGAATAACAGGTGCCTGTGGCTACAATGTCAAGGTAAGATACATGTACTTCTCTGGTCCAGCATGTGGTAGGCAGCCTGCTCTATTTATGCCATATTTAAAAAGCTGTTCTCAGTCAGTGACACTGTTTATGCTTTAACAATAATCTTGGTTGGAACATGTGTTTTCCAGGACTTTGCTCCCAGACAGCATTCCTAGCTATTATGTGAGCCTCTCTGTCTGAATAATCTTTACGTACGTAGTACATGGTGAAACAATTACCGTAGCACATGAACACACTTTTAATTCTGCTGCTGTGAATGGTTTATATACCATCCTAGGACTGTCACCCATCAGAGTGCCTGTTGATGTCAGATCTGAGATAAGTAGCAATCCATCTTCCAAGATACATTGTCAGAGTAAAGTATGCTTTGACAGGTGAGCAAATAATGATAATTTGCATATTAAATTGAACCAAAATCATTCAAACATGAATGCATTTATCATTCAAACTGTAATAGACCAATTGTGCCGGCTAAGTCAACAAACATGGCATCCACCAAAAGCAAAGTATTTTATAATTATCATTATGTATCATTACCAAAAAGAAAGCCGACAGGGGGTACTGTACTTAGACTACTGATGTGCTGGGTACTATACTGTAACTTTGCTGTTTTTAAACAACACTCAAAACACAGGTTGATGTATGGGGTTGATGCCCTTTAACCCCAATGGCCTTTAATCCCCTTTTTGGCCCTCACAACTCCACTATTCAACTTTGAATCCTGTCTGGTCTCCCCCATGTTTATCCCTTGTGTTTTGTCCCCCTTGCGTCAGTTCTTTGTTCACATAGCCATGTTCCATGTACATGTGCTGTTCATCCTTTGCCTTTCCCTCCTTCCCCCTTTGTTGCCCCTACCCCCTTCCTGTTGTGTTTCTCTACGGAGCCCTGTTTGTACATGCATATCCTACTCTTTTTCAGCCCTCTACTAGTGTTTTAAGACTTGCTAAGTTTAGGATGTGTTTTAATTTTTATGGTTATTTGTATAATTGTTTTATTTGAACGTTATTTAATTCAGAGATTTTATCTATTTCTCATGGATGCCTGTATGTGGTGGGTAACCACTGTTGGTCATCAGAACTACCCACTTACCTACGTACTTACTATAGGTCACATGATTTAGCGGATGGAGTCGGTCTATTAAAAGTTGTTGTAATGTTTGAGGCTAAAATGTTCCAGTCAGTTGACAAAATTGACAATCTTCTAGTCAGAAATTAGCCATATTTCAGAATCTTTAAATAGCCATAATACCTCTTTTCTGAAAAAGAACAAATAATGACAAAGATGTATGGTGGTGCTGAAGGAGTCATAAGGGAAGTGCTTAATATGGTTAGAATGACTAACATGACACAGGAAACACATGCGGTGCGAGTAATTTCAGTGTGGGTCCTGTTTTAATCAGAGTGCAGACATTAGACTGTGGTGATACAGTTGCTAACTGGTTGTCAGATGCCTTAGGGAAGAAGTGTCGTCTCCTCCAACAGAATCCAGAATTTGAGCGAAACTGCAAACTTGTGAAAGGTATTCATGCATGCACAGTTGCATCCAGTTTTGTGCTCTTAAGAAAACAACTTTTAGTATGCTTTTAGTTTGTTTTATTGTTGTGAACATACATGTATTAAAACTTGAGTAAGTTTATTCAAACTTTGTACAGGATGACTTTTAACTTTTTCATTACTTGTACTTTTGTCAGTAGAAATCAAGAGCTGTGGGATATATGGAATTATGACTTAGTCCTGTCATAAGCTTGAGAAGATGACTTTGTCAGTTTGTACGCAAGATGTCTAGTAGTTTTTAAATACAGTTTACATGTACCTGAAGTATACATTTGGTTCTTTGTACCATTGTAGATGCTGCAAGTGTTACTAGAAGCCATCTCTCCCTTGTCAATGAATCTCCATTCACTCTGCTGTGTAGATCCAGTGCTCAGTCTCTACGTAAAGCCATTGGTGAAAGATATACCAACCAGCCAATCATAAACCCATCTGAAAACAGAAGTGATCCGTTTGAACCGATCACTGCAGAGTTTCCATTAAGTACAGAGAAAGGGAAGGGGCTCAATCTACATACAGAGGAGTTGATTGGCCGGTTTCGTGGAAACCTGGTGATTGATGGATGGGAGGCCTTTGATGAGGATGAATGGAAGAAGATACAAATTGGAAGTCATTTGTTTACAGTAAGTTTAAATTGATAGGAATTTTTTTGAGCAATAGGCATAAATAATTTGAACATTTTAGAGGCATGTATTCTTTGAAATTATTACTGTTTGTTTGATTTAAGATTACTTTGAGACTACATTACAGCCTTAATATGTATTTTGTCCTACTTAATTGCATTTTACAAAACTTATGTTGATCAGTTGGTAAAAACACTGTTATTTAGCAGCAAAGTCTCATATCTCTAAAGTCTTTCTTGTTTTCCCATTATTTTTATTACAAGGTTCTTGTTAAAACACGCAATTTAACTAATCCAAGCTTTCATTATAACGAGTGGAATGTAATTTCTTTGTGTGTTTTCTAAGGTTGCAGGAGCTTGCGTTCGATGTCAGATGGTCTGTGTGGACCAGAATACAGCAAAGAGAAGCACAGAACCATTGCTGACACTGTCCTTCTTTAGAGGAAAAAAGGTATGAAATGAAAACCCTGTTTTACATAATGTGATTATTGTAGAAAGACACAAATTCTCTAAAGTTAGAGAAGAGATACTAAATAAAGTAGCTTGAAAAATAAAGTGATCTTCTTGCAGCAGTTGTAGCAGCCTGGTAAAAAAATAACAGAATATGACAAGCACTTTGTCTTTCAAAATTTTATGATTTCCGTTGAAGAATTGATGCCCACCTTTATCATGTATGAATGCAGGAATTGATGGTATATGGTGCGCACATAGTTTTCTCTGTTGTCAACCAAAATTTTGGCGCTATTTGTGTGGGGGTAAAAGTGAATTTTACAACTTGATATGGCAGGGTATGTACGTGTACATGTTAATTCAAGTGTGCAGTTCCACCATTTGCTTCTGTCTATTATATTGTCTATTGATCATCAACTTGTATGCTCGGCAGGTTCCTTTTGGTATTCACCTACTACAAGATGAAGCATCCTTTGAAGGAACTACTCTCCGAGTAGGGGATGATGTGTCTGTTATCCAGGGACAGTAAACTTAAATGTTATTGGTAAACAAATTATCCACCATTGGCCACAAATAGCAAGAATTGTTAGACTTGTTCTCAGCTATTTCCGTATGTCATGTGACTAGAACTCGTCTTGGTTATGTCTTAGGTACATGTACTTCAGTTTTCAAGGTGTTGAAGTCTCAAAGTGAAGTTGTCATTGAATTTTTGGTGCCTTTGTTATAACGGTTTGGGCTAAAGTAATTGGTGCAATATAATCATATTTGTGAACTGTTGGATGATGAGGAACTTTGGGGATTTGAAAAATAGAACTCAAATTAAAAGATAACTTTACAGGATTTATATTTTTAAATTAAAAAAGATTTTTGAAAGTGTACAAAGCATGCAAATACTGATTTTTCTATATATTGACAACAATAAATTATATGGTGATAGTTTAATTGTGATTGTCAACGACATATATATACACAAATATACATATGTAGTTGAAAATCACAGCTGTGTGCTTTTTAATATTCTAATTCATTTACAATAAAATTATGCAAGGACACTATACTTTGTGTGCTTTAAATGCAAGTGGTTTGATTTTCCTCAAAGAATATGCCTGTTTACATCCATGCAACCTGCAAACAATACATGTATTGCCATTTTTCAAATGAAAGTCTTCCTTAGATAATTGAAGGGAAATATACGATCTAAAATAACAAAATAAACTATTATCAGAGTAACATGTATCAAGTTTACAGGTGCTTAAACCTTTGTTTGGTAGAATCGAGAGAAACTTTAAAAGTTTCTATTACCCAACTCAGAGAAGTATCTTTTTTCAGATGTAGCAACTAGACTTACTTTCAGTGTTCAAGCTAAGTATTTTTACCGGTTTCCTATTTCTATTGCTTTCAAAACCAGTGATTGAAAGCCTGTCATTCAGCTATTAGGACACCTAACCTCAAGAGGAATTTACTGAAGTGGATTGATGTCCTTTGACACCTGCTTTGGTGACATAACCAAAAGTCTGCCATGTGGTTACTATGGATATACCATGACAATAACCATCATGATAGCCATTCACTTTAATAAGACTTCAGGAGAGAACGAATAATTGTACTATATACAATATAACTCATTTCCATGCACCCTTTGATCTCCAGTCCAGAAAAACCTCAAACTCTGCCTCATCTGCACTGCCACTGCCTTCTTCATTCTCCTTGCTTGTTACATGCTGCTGCAACTTCTTAGCTTCCAACTCTGACTGTATACTCTCTTGCCTATCTCTTAGAGCTTCTACTTTGGCAAAACAGTGTCTAGAGGAAAGTTTCAGAAGAATAATAAAAATCAAGTGAGTTTTATTTTCCTGCTTTTTTTTTCAGAAGGCACAAAGCCAAAAATGGATGGGGTACACCTACTGGAGTTGGTGAATATAAGAGATTGACATGTCAGCGTTAGAGTTGGAACATTATGAGTGGGTAACTTTCAAGATGTTTACCTTAATTTTCATTGACGGAGTACTGTCCCAGGCTTTGTCAATGGTAAACAATTTGAAAGGCGTGTAATCAATGCAAACCAAGTTTCACAGTGCATTCATTTTGTTATTCAGTATTTGTGGAAGGGCAGCTTTTCTCTTGTTATTGTGTGTGTGCATCATTGTGTATTTTTTGTATGTTTCACTTGTCTTTCTTGGGGTAGATCCTTACATCTGCTCATCGATCTCATCAATGTTTCTATCCACCTGAGCTGCCTCCTCATCTTCAACTTGTATGTTCTCAGATACCTGGGGAAAAATATACAAGATCTTACAACACATATTTTCACCTATGCACGCTTAAGTGACTTTAATTTGTGTTAAGTTAGTGTGCATTTAATATGTACATGTAGTCACTGTTAGCTCCAGACTTGATCGTAGACCTGTACTAAAAATGCTCCTACCTGATTTTCTTCCATCATTTCTTTCTGGAATTTGCTCCATTCCTCTTCCATAGTGTTTTTCAATTCAACATTCCGTACCTACATGCCACATTGTAAAAATCATACAAATAACTAAGAACTGCAAATAAGAAAAAAACAGCTTGAAGTATCAACTACAACCATTTTCCAGGTAACTATACTGTTACTATACCTCAAGGCGTGCTTTTGTTTAGTTACATAAGAGATGCCTTGCACCAATACACTTGTTTTCATTGGATAAGAATAGCACAGAGGAACCAGTCCATTCCAGAGATGATCGTCGGTATGCAAAAGCATGAGGTATAGCAAGTGTCTTTAGATTGGGGAATTAAAATTATGTTTATGTGCAATTAGATGTACCATATTTTATTCAACTTTAACTTGCAAAAGGCTTATTCAATATACTAACCTTGGCATCCATAACTGGGTCATCAAAAAAACCCTCAGGAATAGCCTCGGCAGTACTGGATGGTTTTCTGTTGGAACAGAAATATTTGCAATTATTGTAAGTATAAAATTACTATGTATTTGATACATTAATGATGAATGTTAAGAAAAAGAACCCAATTAGTCTAATGATATGTTGTGCAAGATTTGTAAATTTGTGAGGAGCTTTCTGCAGTCTATTAATGGAATACACACCCAGAATGATCTCCTACATGTACATGTACCTTTCTGTGGTTTTGTCAGCTGTTGAGTTTGATGTTCTTGCTTCTCCATCTTCACGAGTTTTTGTTGCAGTTAAAGAGGATGTTCCGGAATCCAAGAAATCTAGATGTTAGTGGCAAATGAACAACTCTACTACAACACAAATGGAATTCAAATTCCTCCAATGATGCAGCATAAAATAATGTTTTAAATGACAAAAGAATATATGTAGGAACAAACATTGCGACTCCAAAACCTGACATAAGTTATGCTGTAAAGTACTTATGAGCCACCCATAAGTTAAGTGCATATGGAACTTCAAGACATACCAGATGGAAGTGAAGATGAAACTGTATCTTCTGCAACTGAGCTGCTAGGTGGTTTCTTGGCACTGACAGAGGAAGGGCTATTGATCTTGTCAAAAAATCCTGCCGGAAGACTTTTTTCATAAAAAAGAATGCATGCATTATGAAACAAAGAAGTACAATTTGCCCCCAAATCCTGTTGTGACAGTACAAGTCAGAGATAAGGTAATATCAAGAGTTAAAGTTCGTAGGCAAGGACTGGTACCTTCTTAGGATCTGCTTTAATATACACTTCAAAGCATCAACAGTTGTACCCTCTTGGCCATTTGCACTAGGAAAGCAAAAAAATTATGTCTGGTCTTCGACATCATCTTATCCACTTAACCGATCACTAGCTTCCTTACAACAAACACTGAAGTGCAATTAAAGACACTGATGAATTTAGAGGATTATGCTGAATACAGATTTACGTTGCTTTTCTTTATACCCTTTCATAGGACCTTCTGGAGTAGCTTCTTTTAGTTGTTTCTTCTCTGAGACTGTTGAGGTGATTTCATACTCTGCTTTTCTCTTGGTGGTTGTATATGTTGTTTGTAGCTGTGCAGGGGCTGGTCTCTCTTGTATACTTGAGGCATTTCCCTGTTTCAATGCTGCTAAAATCTAACAAGTTTGAGTTGTTGAAAGCATAGGCTAATTGTAATCACATTTTAACATTTGAAGATACAGGTGATTGTACAAACACTTGTTGAAAGACTGGCAAGGGCAACTCATTCATTGGTTCTTTTGTCTATCCATTTTTTCATGCCCAAAATATTCTCAAAAAAAAAAAAAGTGGCAGATGTTAAAATCTTTTGAATAGTCTAAAGCCTCGGGTAAACCATGAATTTACTATGACTTGCACTTTGTACATTCACACTAGACTAAGGAATTAACCCAAATCAATTCCAAATAGATTGTATGACAAAGATCAAGCTACAGATTATTTTGAAATTTGGAATGGGAGATTTGCTTCTAATTCCAAGTAAAAATGTAAGTACATATACATTTTCTGACCTCTTTGTGCTTTTTCCCTTGAAGGTGTGCTGGCCACACAATCTCACTTTTCACTTGGCAGTTACAAACAATGCAGACAAGCTGGCCTAAACTGTTATATGTATGAACTGTTAAAGAAATTTCAGCATTTACTTGGATATGAGCTTGTGCATTTACTTAAGACAGCCTATACGATTATATCCATGAGATACCATAATTTTCGCACATACATATAGTACTTTGATCAAATTTGGTTTGAAGCAATAGATACCCCATAGCAGGGGTGAGATTTCCCAGCTTTTTAGCTGATTTCAGCTTTTTTTGTTTTTTATTTCAGCTATTTTTTTTCACTGGCGGTGTACAAAAGTATAGGAGATTTTCACAGTTCAGTCTCACCCCTTCCATTGTCTGCAGACAATTTGGATCGGTTGTATTAAACTTTACAAAACCATAATTTGCACACACACCGTAAACGCCATTTAACAAAATCTCAGCTGTGTTCTGAAAATTCTGTACATCTGTGTCTCTTGAAATGGGAACAAATTTGTGTGCTTATTACTTGAGGTTTGGCGATGAAGATAGAGAAGAAAATACTTTTATTCATGCTATCTTGACTTTCTCCCATTATCCACTCCTTGTAATTTTTACAATTTCATTTCAAGTATCAGGCCTACAGTTTCATTCTTTCAAACACATGTAAATTATTCAAAAGTAGTGGAAGACCTCACTATGAAAGTAATTGATCTGGATACTAGACCATGTAAGTAAATATCTATTGTTCTATTTCTGCTACATGTTAATGTTTTTGAAAATACATCCATGTAGGGAAGGTGGACAAAAGTCATCATATATGTTATGCAGTGTAACCATGGAGAAATAAAACACTTTTATTTCTCCATGGTGTAACTATCGTGAGCTCATAGAGATTGTTCTACACAACTTCAATCGGTTTAGTCTTTATCCTGTAGGCTGTACAGTAAAACTTGCAAGTGCACCCTGTAACTTTTTTGTTCCGAGTATCCCCAGGAACAACTTGTAATTTGCACACAACCACAAACGACTTCCACCAATGGGCAAATCAACGTGCTGTGCATTTTGTGCAGAAAGGTACACGCTGAGAAAGTTGAATGACCGAATATTACATGTACTACGCGTAACGAGGCCACCTCGGCCCACGTCCGAAATCTGGGCTCACCATTATCACCACCAAATTCCGATTTAAGGTTCTCACAAGTCGTTTTGCCCAGTGAGTTAACTCGTAATTGAAAAGGATATTTGGCTAAGGGAGAGTCAATTCTCTTTGGTGTTGCTTTACTTTCTGCTCGTTGCTTTTTCATCAACTCTCGAAGATCAACCATCTTTTTGCCGGAGGATGCCATCTTGGAAATTCGTCAGGACGCGTTCGTTTGTTTGTGCTTTGCCAAATAAACGCTTATTCATTATTGGAGTTAACCTTCAAAGAATTGGCGCGTGAGATAAGATGGCAGCGTCCAGGGTACGGGTGTCACTCGAATTTGTAGGAAATGACGAGGTCGTTCGACACATTGTGACCGTTAATGATGTCTGCTCAGGTAAGGAAAATCAGGATTGGGATAATGTATTTATATGGTGTATGATATATATATAGCCCATAGTGACAAGTTGAAATGCGTGGGACATGGGTAGGCTACCCGGGCCCGAGAGCTATTCCAGGTTGGACGTAGCTAGCTAGGCGTTGTCTTCATTACATGATTAGGACTAACGTAGTAGGCCTACGGTCAGGGAGTCCACCTTGGCTAGGCTACCCCCAGAAATGTGCTCTAGGGTCCGACGTCGGACCCCGCAGTTCTTGGGGTAGGGACATAGGTGACTGATAATTTGCACTGCCAGTGCCGTGGTGGGATTGTAGGTCAACTCACCCTAGCCCCAGCACTAGTGTGGAACGGACTCTCACTCCCGATCCATCCTTAGCCACACATTCCTTTGCGCAATTTCGTGTCGGCGTACTGAACATTTTTGGCGCACCCACTTACCATCGTGGGCGCAATTTCTTTTGCATACGAACATGATCCTTGACCTTTCCGCTTTCTAAAACCATGTATTGAATGATTTCACTTGCGTTATTCAGGTATTTACCAGTCTTTTTGCCTTTATCCATTCAATCTAATGGGCTCGCTCTCCCAGTCGCCATCTTTAAAATAAGATCGTTGAACATTACGTCACTTGACCCTCATCGTCTCAGCGGCTGTTGCATGTCAAGACATACGTAATAAACGGACTGAGCGATAAGATACTACATGTACATGTACCAATGGGCTCTTCCAAAACTGCTATTTCCTCATATATGTACAGTATGTTCTAAATAATTTTACTTTTCTAGCCAAAAAGCCAAGGAGGTCAAAAGTGCAAACTCTAGCATCAACACCCTCTCAGAGACCAGTGAGATCTACCAGAAAGTCGGTCAATTATAAGGAGAGCCTCTTGGAATTTGATAAGGACTTGGCAGATTCATCAGATGAGGATAAGAATAATGAGGAAAAGGAAGACATTCACTTCAACAAAACACCAGATGGTAATTCATGAATAGCCAGAATTCTTGGCAGTCTGATACTTTTGATGAGACACATGAAGCAGAACTGATATTAATGTCATTACAAGTTAATTACATGTCTGAGTGATCCTTTTTTATGACATTGATCTGACATACATGTATGATGAGAGAATATCCTTCGTCATTTGATAAGAGTGTGATCCATCCTTGTAATTTACTTGGTTTTGACTTTTGAATGAAATATTGATTACATATGCTCTTGAGAGAGTAAATACAGAGTTTGCTCATAAATAGCCATGCACGTTATATCTCAACCTCAGCAAAAATGTACCATTGTTGACTTTGTCAACCACTGTACAAGTAGCTTCAATTTTTTGTTTTTGTTAACTATTTTCTCAGTACTGCTCGATGAAACAGGTATTAAAGGAGCCGATGTTTATCAATTCAAGAAGATCAAGCGGACTGGACAGATGGCACAACTGGCAAGAAGTAGTGTCACACCAATGTCAAGCAAAAAGCAAACTCAAAAGGTTGGGTCAAGAGGGATAAGAAAAAATACGTGTAGAAGTAAGTAAAAAGTAAAAATAGTGAAAATCAAGACGCATATATATGCACATACGTAGCTTGGATGGATGCTAAATGGATTTACTGCACCGATTTCAAAAGCTGGGAGATTTTGCTAAGACCTTGATCAAAATGGGCTTCCAAATTAAAATGCCCAGGTCATTGTTGCATTTTAAATCCTTACCTTTAGGAACCTTACCTGATTCAGATGATGATAGTGAGTCCTCAAAGGTATCTACATGTAGCTCTGGGGAAGACAGCAGTGATGACAACAGTAGCACTCATAGCAAGCACAGTACCACACCTACATACAAGTCAGGAAGGAATGTCACAGGGAGTGCAACATGTGGTGACGGAAAGGTTGTAACACCTGCCAGGGGTTCTGCTGTAAAGGGTCCCATGACACGCAGGAGAACCAGAGGGGAAGTTGAACTGGTAGGATTGGTTGAGATGTGCTTGGAGAAATTTTGCTCTATAGAGGGATCTCAATACAACGCTTTTAGCAATGATCTGCACACTTCGGCATTTGAAAACGAGGTTGTGTTAGCTTCAGTTCTTAATACAATCAGATGATTGAAAGTAAGGAGTCAGGACACAAAATATGTAAAGGATAGTTAAATTCAGACTTTTTAGGCTGCAAAATTTTGTGGAAGTCTTTCATGATGACTCAACACGTAAATCAAAAGAAAAAATAACGACAATTGACTGCGCACTAGCGTTTCTGCGATGGTCGTGTATCTGCATGTGCAGTGGGCCTGGATTAAACTGAAGTTGCATCACACTTAAGAAATGGATACTCCATGTACTGTGTGGACCCCATGGGCACGCGCGACGAAGTTCAACACAGAGAGCCTTGGTTTCGATGCAGATATGTGCAGACGGCGCTAATGTGAAATCCCTCTATTGCTTATCCCTATACGTGTACCTCGTAATCAGAAATACATTTACATTGTAATCAACGAAGACAAAACCTCAAGCACAATGATAGTCTAAACGTCCAAGTTTGAGATTCAATATTTGTTGCTCTTTGTAAATGATATGTATTATTTTTACAGCATTGTTCTACATTGTAAGTTGAACTTGCTCTGTCTACAGCCCAACATGGCAGAAGAATACTTCTCGGCACATTCTGGTCAGTCAATGACCTCCGACCACACTCTGGCCAGACTAGCAATTCCACAGATGGATCAAGAGCAGGTTCACAAGGCACTAACTAATACCCCAAATAGCTACACTGAAGAAATCCAAGAGATGTATCAGGAATACAGAGGCTTGTTTAATAAGTGGATGTTCCAGTTAAGGTAAGAATACATGTAGTGACCCGCACTTCTTTCTTTCGAAGTTTCCTCTAAGAATTACATTCTTTTCATGAATAGGATTCTTGGTCTGAGTTTTGATTTTCTTTGTTCTTAGCAATGGCTTCAATCTGATGTTGTATGGTCTTGGTTCTAAGAGACATCTTCTAGACATGTTCAGGGTAGAGATGTTGAGCAGCTGGAATCATGTTGTGATCAATGGATTCTTCCCAGGACTTACTGTCAAAAGTGTAAGTTGAACATTGAAACAGAATTATTGTCCCTCAGTTGGTTACAGTGTACCGGTAATGCTCGTATTACAGTCAGCTACAAGATAATCCTGGCACTATAATCAGTTACAACTTAATCCTGGTACTACAGTCAGTTACAACATAATGCTCATACTACAGTCGGCTACAACGTAATGCTCGTACTACAGTCGGTTGCAACGTAATGCTCGTACTACAGTCGGTTACATCGTAATGCTCGTACTACAATCGGCTACAACGTAATGCTCGTACTACAGTCGGTTGCAACGTAATGCTCATACTACAGTCGGCTACAACGTAATGCTCGTACTACAGTCGGCTACAACGTAATGCTCATACTACAGTCGGCTACAACGTAATGCTTGTACTACAGTCGGTTACAACGTAATGCTCGTACTACAGTCGGTTACCACGTAATGCTCGTACTACAGTCGGTTACAATGTAATGCTCGTACTATAGCACCAGAAAAGTTGCATACAGCTGTTGCTGCAATCAAGCTTAGTGTGATGTATAGTGTGCAAAAGGGGGTTAAAGTTTGGATAGGCTGTGGTTGGTCTAACAGAGGCATAATAATTGATACTTCCTTGAAGATGTGTTTGGAAAATCAAAGCAATTTAACTTTTTTAATAGCCGAAAAACCTTTTGTAGAAAATGACCAAAACTTAATAGACTATAATGTATATGTGTACACATTTGTACTTAATAGTTTCAAGGAATATGTGATTGTGTACATGTATGGTTTCTCTGCTCTAGTGTGGTCTAATATTCACCAATTACACCAGGTTCTAACATGCATCCTAATTTAGGCGAATTCTAATCTATAGTCAAGAAATGTAGAGATGTGTTGCTCTGTACATGTTTACAGGTTGCCCTTTTAACTTTGCTTTGCAGATCTTGAACAGCATAACTGACGATGTATTTGACCATGCAGTCGGGTTTCGTAGTCTAGCTGAGCAGTCTGAGTATATCCATAACATATTAGAAGAACGTGAAGGTACTTGAAGAATTCAATTAAAAAATATTCACAACTGATTAATGTACATGTATATGTATACATACATGTATGTATTCATGTACACGTATACAGTTGCTGTTCAGAAAAAAAAGTAAATACATGATATTGGACAAACAGATTTTGGTATTTCATGTGAGGATGAATGATAGTTTATAGAGGAATAGAATCTTATGAGTTTTTTTCTGAACTGTCATTAATTTGTGTAGATGGTTCAAATGATCCATTAGTGTTACTGTTTAGTTGTGTAATTTGCAACTATGTATCTTTAATTTGTACATGAACTTCAATTTACAAAAAAAGTTTCAAATACCTGTTCTTTTTAAAATTTCAAATGGTAATAACTGTTTGTGGATATGAAACTTATANTTTAATTGGTGTTCAATGTTCTTGTTCATTTCAGAGCCATTGTTTCTAATTATTCATAATATTGATGGAATGATGCTTCGAGGACACAAAGTTCAGTCCTTTCTTTCAGCATTGTCTCAGTCAGCTTTCGTCCATATCATTGCAACAATTGATCACATTAATGCTCCACTAAGTAAGTTATGACTTCAAAATGTTTATTTTGACTTGCCGACTCAGTCAAAGTTTGTTTGTTCATTGTTCCTCCATAATCAGACTGTTTGTTTGAGTGCCCTTACATGTGTACATTGTACGAGTGTCCATAATATTACAGGTAGACAGTTACAACTCCTGTTGAGGAAAATCAGCAAATTAAATGACCCTCAAATCACATTCAATCAACCCGTTCTTATTACTCTTGAAGCAACAAGGAATTTATAATGCCTATGATCTATATCCAGCAAGAAATGAGACCGAGGGGTACCCCCCTAACTTGTCCAATGGACATACACACTCTGCAGTATTGTCACCTAACACATCCCCCTAGATGTCTGAAAAGAATTCCTCAGATTCCAGTGAGACAATGACTGACACAAAGCGGGGGGAGGGGGGTCTCTCCGTCTCATACCTTGCTTCATATGCAATGTTTTCTTCTAGTCTGGGACCAGTCCAAATCCAGCAGTTTCTATTGGGTGTGGTATGATGTCACAATGTTTGAACCTTATACGGAGGAAACTTCTTATGAGAATTCACTCTTGGTCCAGCAGTCTGGTGTTCTAGCACTTAGCTCACTCACTCATGTTCTACGAAGTCTTACGCCTAATGCCAGGTGAGTTTACGTGCAACATTAATATTTGTCATAACACCTCCGCACATTTGAATCAGTATCATGTATTGAAGTACATGTACTTTGCTTTGTTCCAAATTCACATTTTGGCAGTAGTTCCAGACTGAATTACGTAGGTAAAGAGTGTAAGTCAAAGTTGACACATGTATTTATAGTCGCAGACGTTCAAGTACATCAAATACCTGTACATTAATGTGTACATGATGAACACGTGATTATGTGCCCCAAGTTTTTACCATACATGTACATATACATCTATCACCTCCCCTTGGTGATCATTACTGAACACCACCCTCTTTGAGAAAGTTATTTTGCTTTTTCTTTTGATGAACAGGGGCATCTTCAACCTCCTTGTTGAGTATCAGCTATCACATCAGGACAATGCAGCATATCAAGGTCAGTTAAATTGAAAGGAAAAGTCAGTAAACTTTATTCCAATTTTTAGCTGTTAACAGCTATTGTAGTCGCTAAAGTTTTTTTTTTCCTTTTTTCTTTTTCCACTGTTTTTTTCTACAAAGCAATTTGGCAATTGTTTTAGGTCCTATCAATTTCAAACTCGGTAGAGTAATTAACCATCATCAGAAGATGTACCATATAACTTTTGTAATCATGACGTCATCAGGGGTCACGTGACCTCAACTCAAATGTTCATTCTTTACAGTCTAATAACTAGTAAACTATTTGACAGATTTAACTCAAATTTGGCATGCACATCGTCAGGGACATGTTATAGATGGAAATTGATATAACCTCGTGTGACCTCTACTTCCGCTTTGACCAGAACTTGTATTTTAACACACAAATTGTCGTATCTCATGCCCTATACATTCAATTGCAGTGATAATTGGTTTTTCGTTACACATGCTACTTTGGCAGTTATTTGTAATTCAATTCATTGCAAACTTATACTTGTTGACAGTCATCAAAAGACAACAAAAAACATTTGGGAACAGCTATGTGTTTATTCACCAACACCACCTGTAGTTAAGTATGGTTTTTGTAAAGCGATAAGTTCTAATATTAGTTCTTGTATAGAATTATTGATATTAATAATACCTTTTTATGAGGCTTTCTGTACAGCTATTTTGTTTCATTTCTGTGCTACTTCTGGTAACATCATTCCACCAAAGGATACTGCTCAGAGTTGGATAAATCTGTTTCAGTGTTGTGGTGTACATTGTAAATGTCAAAATTTGTTCATTCAGTGAAGCAGCTATTGGGAATTGTATTCCATTGGAAGCATTGTACATGTTTATGGAGTTTGAACAGTCCAAATCTTTGTGCTGTCATTTCTGCAGGGTTGTCCTTTCATGACTTGTACCAGAGGTGTCGTGAAGCTTTCCTTGTTAACAGTGAGTTAACACTCAGGGCCCAGCTGACGGAATTCAGAGATCACAAACTTGTCAGATCTAAAAAGGTAAGTATTGGTAGCATTATTCACTTCGAGCAGGAAGAACAGAGGGTGTGTTTTGAAATGAAATTGCAAGTCCTTTGCTACACATTCACCACATAGGCATGCAACTTTCTGCGCGTTCCCCACAGGCAGGCAGGCAGGCAGGCATGCTGGGTACACGTTGCCTTGAAATGTGTGATCTTCACGTGCACGCCAAAGGTGTGCAAGAACCTGGTTTGAAAAGTTAGTACCATATGTCTTTCTTTCCCATTGAGGGTGCACCTCAGCTTGAGGTAGATAGAGTAGGCTGACAGTTTTAAGGTTTTAGAATTCACTTTGTTTTTTCTACACTTTCCCATTATACATGTTCATATACACCTTTGGTGCTCAGATTAATTCAAGCATTTGTTGCCAAGGAAAAGTCACAATGGGCAAAAAACAATGACAGTCTTTTGATATACATGTATGACACATTTCACCCTTCAAGTCACTTCAAATGAAACGCTATTCATTTTGAAACAGTAACTGTATATAACTAAAGTGGGAAGGTGATAGAGAAGGCATCCTATTGGAATTTTCCCTGTTTAATAGTATTCTGTTGAGAGATTTTTTTAAATATTAAAGATATATCCTGAAGGCACACTTGGTATCAGATTTTATGTGGGTTTAATTTTCAATTTTTTTACAGGAGTATATTCATTTATGTTATGTTATGCTATGCTTCCAGTATGTTATATTTATGTTAGAATATGTGATGCCTCATTCACTGTCTGATTGGGTGAAGCTAATGACCCTGAAGTTGGTGATAAATATTTCAAATATCATCTCAAATAGAATGTATAATTGATTTCTGCATGAATGAACCTCCCAATGTAGCTACTCGGTTCTACTACATACTGCTTGCAGATATTGCATGCCAATTACAGTGGGGCCAGTCTTGTTTATGAAGCATATGTTGCCTTCCATTTGTATTGCCCCTCCTTAATGAATGTTAGTTTTCTAAACTCTTTTCATTCAGGGATTGGACGGTGTAGAGTTTCTTTTGATTGCTGTTGACAATCAAACACTTCAAGAATTTCAACAACAGGAAGAGGTGTAAGGGATGGACTGATTGATTGGCTACAGTTGATGGTATTGACAGTTCACAAAGGTGACTTTATATTGCATGCTTGATACTGAACAGTGGAAAGTTACAATGAAGTGACAAAAGTATGTTGGGAACCTGTATGGAAAGCGCTTCAACAAGTTGTCGCTGTTAAATTCCTGATAAATTGACTGCTACAGTAGATGTCACCCGCTATGAGCGAGATTGCCAACATGACAGTGGATTGATAATGCAAGGGAAAACATGAAGCAAGTACTCTTACATGTACACGTGCATGCACCTGTTATTCTGCAAATTGTGTCAGAAATTGAATATCAAATATGATTATCTGTGTTCATCATATGTGCATGAGCTTTACTGCATTTATTAACCATTTATTGTGTTTGCATTGGACTTTTCCTCTTTTAATTGGGACTCCATTTTGGCTTGTCTACATGTACATGTATTTGTGCCAGCAGTGACTGATTGTTGTTTCCATTTGTGGTTAACCAAATGTAGCACAGCATGTAGTGGTTATTTTACGTGGCTGACGTTTCCTGTATATTTTCTCCCAAACCAAAACTCGTTGTACAAAGCCTGGTCTTATTATTCATTCATTAAGTTAAATTCATCATAATATTTGTGAGGCAAGAGACAGGCTGCCTTTATTGAAATATGGAGAGTACTACATGTGTGTAATGAAACCAGCAGTGTGAGTGCTCACACACAAAGGGAGTAGAGAACCAGTCTTCCTGTAAAAAAATTTACAGCGCACTCATGGACGTGTCATAGCTGTTCCTGTTGGCAACCTGTTAACACTGCAGCTCCTCAGAAAGTTTCTGTGACCACCTTCTGTGACCACCTGTTAAGTTTAGCATGAGAGTAGTGTGAATCTAACAGGAATCTCTGTTCTCTTTGCAACTGATTTTTCATTTCTTCCACTCTGCAGTTACTAGTTTACAGTCACTAGAGTGAACACATCCTTGATATCATCTTCATTCAGTTAAAAATTGGGTTAAATTCTTGGTTCTGAATTGATACCAGTATATCTCAGATACACATATGAGAAGAATTACATTCTGTAGAAACGGGCTTTCCTTCAGAAATGTCTGTTTTTGTGGCTTCTGTTTTGGTGCTTGTTTCTTGTTCCATTTGTCATTCATATTATTTTCAACGTTTCGTTTTGGCTTATGTCACTTGCATGAAATACTGTGAAATGAATGTTTGTAACATACTGGTTTTTGGTCTATTCATTTTTCTTTATTTGTGTCTATTATGAAATATCAGTAATCTGATACGATATTATTCTGACAAAAAGTAAATATTTACAGTGGATATGAACCCAGTCCAAGAAACCATCATTGTTTTGAAATAAAAGAGAATCTACTAGATTCTTTGTCAGTATTAGATTATGTGTTTTTGAAGATTTTGTTAAGAGTCTTGTTTCTAAGCCATTGTCTTTACAGTTCCATATTGACTGTGGTAAAGGCATACAAGACAAATACGTGTGCACAGTGTTCTGAACCTTAAAATCGGTCATTTATAAAAGGTAGATAAATGTAGGTAATTAAGAATTATGGACTGCTGTGATGTAGGACACGTTTTAACAACCGAGGGACTCGTACATGTAGCACTGGAGATGGGTATTACACATGTACGTCCCATAGAGTGTTGAAACATAATGTCCCACATGACAGCAGTGCACTATTGTTTAGTTACATGCATACACCTGTTTTCAATTCTCTAAAATATTTTCCTCAACTAAAAGTCCACAATTTAATTAAACCGATGGGTGTCTTGGTCTGTTTCTGCGCCGATGACATGCAGAGACTTGGTACATCCCATATGGGTTTAATTTTGTTGGCTGCATGTGTCAGAAGCAATAAAAATTGTTTGGAAGCAGTATCAGAAGTTTTAAAAGCAATTTCAGAGGAAAATCAACATGTGTCTCTCAGTTCAGCAGACATTACGGTATTGAACTTCATGTATAAGAAAAATCATCTTTTAATGAGCTTCAACCATCGTTAAACAATTATAGCCCTCTGATACAGCTGATTGTATCATTTATACTTCCAGTTCACTGCTCCCACTTGATTTTGCGACATGTATTATCATCTGGATAGTAAAATTAGCAGAGGTACCAATGAATGTCAATTATCAGTTTGCTCATTATGGTTTGGACTGTGGGGTGGGGATATTAGTCTGTGATATCACAATGTGATGCTCAATGATGAGGCTGACATGCATATGTCTTCTCTTGTGCTATACATAAACGGGTTACTCTCAGGGAAGTTGAATTTGTGTACAACTCTTGAAATATAATTGGTAAACTTTCATATACTTTATGATTCGCCAGTTTAACTGCAAAGAAAAAAGAACAAGAAGTTGTCCACTGGAGCTTGGTTGCATAGGAATATTGGAAATTTTACTGCGAGTATATGGTGCAAGTCACTGTAATGGTAACTGAGAAAGTTGCAAGTAATAGAACTAAACAGAAATACACTACCATATATACTTTAATATAACTGAAAATATCATTGACTATCTACACAGTGTTAATCATTTTTAAGGACGCAAAACTTCTGCACTAACTTAAACATTATTGGTTGTCCATTCGATTTACATGTAGGATATAAACCTTTCATGCAAATTTAAATGCTATATACCACTCACACAGCCTGCAGTCTTCATGTATGTTGACAGTTTTGGGAATGCAGAATTCTTATGCATTTAGTTCAGTGCTTACATTTACCATGTTTACTGTTTGGTTCTTTAAACCCAATTTTACTGAAAATCCCATGAGTGATGATGATGATTTGTCTTTTCTGGTTCAGCGCTAGGATTTTCCTGTCAGAAAAATTCAAAGAAATCAATCAGATCAAATGTGCTCACTGTAGGTTTGAATTCTGTTAACAAGACTGTAAACTTCGGTGGATTTTTCTGCAAACCTACTGCAAAAGTCACAGACTGCATGCCTTGCTTTGTGTTTTTTGAAAGATCACTTACTCTAACTCTGCTAACATAAAAATCATTACATCTCATTTATAAACCTGACAAGTACATGTTTTATTTTTTGTGTGACAAACAAGACCAAATAGACTATAATTGCTGGATAATATAGATACAGGTTTCTTTCTAAATCAGTTACTTAATAAAAAGTAATAATCTTACCTATCTAACTCAATCATAACTAAAATACTCCAAATAATGTTTCCACAGTATTCATGGATGTTCAAAGTACTGAAGTCAGAGTCTTTCACATGGAGTTATATTAATTTACTAACATGCAAAGAAGCTTGGAGGCTTCCTGGGCACAAACATTTAGAATTTATGTGTGTATTTGTAGAACATGCATGTAATAAAATAAGATGAAACCAATTCTTAATTATGTAGTCAAAATACTATGTGCAAGTACACAATTCACTTATTACCTGCCATTTAATCTACAGCGTATAACCATGCTGTTGTTTGTACTGAGCAAAACTTAATGCCTATATACTTATTCTAAATTTAGGTTTTCAGCACGTCATGCAGCCTTATTAATGCATTGTTTTAGAATACAGATGCAAACATGCCATAGATGTACAAAAACAGTACAAAATCTGGAGTTTTTTATATGTACATGTATGTGTACAAATGTTGATGCACCCACCAGACTTCATTCGTACAGTGAGTTGGCACTCCAGTAAATATACATGCATATAGCTCTGTTGGCTTTCCAATGCAGAAATCTATTGTCAGCAGTCTGTTCAGCTCACAAGGATTTTTTTAAGGGGGGGCGGGTGCCTTTAAGCGAGGAATTAGTTGGGAAATACATGTAACTATGAACATTTTGGGAGATTGTGTAAATATGGTCTGTTTAGTCTCTGTGCTAATTGAGCTGCTGTATTCTGGGTTGACAGTGCTGCATGGTTTGAATGAACCAGGTCTAATTCCTTGGAACTGGAGGGAGTGGTGGTGGGGGGGGAGGTTGAGGAAGGGGTATGGCAGTCTTGGAAGGAGGCAGATATGCACGGGATGCTGGAGGATACTGAGCTGTCGGATGGACGGATTGTCTTGGAGAGGAGAAATCTTCCATAGGGTAAGAATCATGCTGAGTTGGCATGGCAACATTGTCATTTGGAAGGTACATCCTGCTGCCTCGTAAGTCTTGTTGGAGACTCATCCGGTTACCATGGTGATGTTCAATGGTTGGTCTCTTAGGACGTCCGTAGCCATACCCTCTTGATTCATCATCATACACTTTATAACGGCGTGGATCCTGATGCAGATAAATTAATTGTTAATGACTGCAAATCATTCTTGATGACAGGCAGTCCTGATGAATGCCTTTTTATTCAGAGCACCAAACCAAGTAGCCCTTAGGTTAGAACTGTTATTAACAGAATACATGGACTGATGAAAATATCAAGCAATTTCTCCCTGTGTTATAAATTACCTCCAGTATGAATCCCCCAAATTCGTATTTAAAACAGAAGAAAGTGCAGCTTTCTGTCAATGAAACTACATGAATTTCTTTGAAAACTTCTTTATTTAAAAACTGTTTATGCTGTCTGTTCCAAGGAAAGTTTTCACTATCCATTGACAGACATTTGCTTGGATTGTGACGAGATGGAGGCATGCCTGAGAGCTTGTAGGTAAGTACATATGATGTACATTTTGTTTTTACATGTAAATTAGCCTTCCTTTCCATACCTGGAGGTATTGGTCAATTGGGATAACCTCAGGGGCCATGTAGGGCCTGACAAAATTGTCACGGTAGTCTGGTTCCTGACCAAAGTTGTAGTTGCCAAGGGAACGCACCTCTTTACGCATCCTCCTCTGGAATCCCAAATACAATAAAGTACTTTGTATTCACCAATCCTTTTGAAAGAGGTATTTTTACATTCAGGAACCAGTGCTTTTATTTCTTCTCTTTAGTAATGATTCAAAGTACAAATAGAAACTTGTTGATCTCTTATTTAATTTACACTTTAAAATTAATCTGGCTTATATTGAAATCAGGAAACTACATGTATTTGAATTATTGAACAATTTCACAGAGGCATTAATGTGTTTCTAAATTTTAAATTACCAATGGAACAAATATAAAGGATTTTTGTTTTAGTTTCCAAATATCTTCATTTCACCTACCTCAACTTCTGGGAGTTTGCTCATGGCATCAGCAATATATTTACTTTGAGATTCAAATTCTTCTTCAATGAAATCTGGGTTATCTTCCCCTATGTCATTTGGATAATTTAAGTGTCTGGGTTCAGATGATGGTCCAGGCCTGAGATAGTCATCTTGGTGAAGAGACTTTCAAAGAGCAAGGAAAAGAAAATTGGTTAAAATGCTGTGGAATTATTGCAATGCAATCTTGTTGCCTCCAGAAAGCTGCAGAAATTAAACTTCAATACAGGAATAAAGTGGTAAAAACTGTTTTGGCTGCAATTAATGTGCAGTAATACATATGCACCTGACATGCTATATCTGTTTTTCAACTTTGTACATATGGTGCTCAATACCATTTGAGCTGAATCTCACGGGAACATGGCATTAAATATCCTGTATTGTCATAAGAAGAGTCTAATTTGACTATTTTTTCACCTTAGCCAGCTGTATGCAAAGCCCAGCATTGCTTGAAGTTCCCTTTTCATCATGTGCATGCCCTCTGAGGTCAGACAGTGAGATTCATTGGTCTTTTGTTACTCTTATGTAATGTTTCTGGCTGGATGTAGTTGTGTTCATTCTAAGTGGATTAGTCCCTCAGTGCAGAGAATGTCAGAAGAAATACCTTTTTCTGTCCAGTAACTGGCAGTGCTAAGAGTTAACTAGCCTTTCAGGACTCTAAAACAGCCACGTCAAACATTCTTGTGCCTGCATTGGTTCTGAATCCACAGCATTTAATTTGTCTACCGTATATCATAGATATCCTTCAACTAACCTCTCTGACCAGAGACTGTCTGCTGTCTTGGGACCTAGTTTCAACAGTGATGGGATCCCAAACCTCCTCATCCCTAACAAAGCGAGACAAGTCCCTCTTGACTGGATAAGATCTCAGGGAAAGCCTCTTAATATTCTTCTTAGTTTGGCGATGGTAAAAGGTGAAACACAGTAGAAGGCCAACACAAATGATGACAAGACTGGCCACTGAAGTCAAACTGATAACCAGGATGAGTGTGTCTGACAAGCCTGTAAAGAGATGGATAATGGTGAGTCCAATATGTGGTTATTCTGTCACAATGTTTAACCCTAAAAGAGCTGGGGGTGGGGTGAGGTGGGGGTGGAATTCGCCCCCTCAACATTTTGCCTGATATCACTGCAGTGTATTTTTTTTTGGCATTTAGCCTTAAACAGATTTAGAGTAATGCAGTCATTTTGACTCCAGTTTTGTGAAAATAGACATACTGTTCTTGTGTAGTGTGCATTTTTCTGAGACAGGCCAGGCAAAAATGTTTACTTTTTTGACTGTGGTGCTCAATGCAAGCAGGCTGGCATAAATGTGGCCTTGAACTTAAATGACAACAAAACTGTACCTCTAATTGATGAGTTCAAACTTCACACTTGTAATGATAAGGAGTGTTTTTTTATATGCATGCCAAGTTCCAAAAGAATATTAAGCGAGACACAGCCGAGTTTTTTTTTGGGGGGGGGGAAGAATCTGACAACAACAAACAGACAGGGTAGAAATTACTGTATTCCCCCTACTCAATTCTAATTACTCTATTACTTAATTACCCCCCTGCTGTCTGACGGGCCAAAATAAAGAAAATAACAGGGCTCTTTTAGGGTTAAATGAATTTGGAAGAGACCAACCTGTCTGCTCTGCCTCCTCGCATCGTAGGCCTGTGTAACCGTCTGGGCAACTGTCGTCAATCAGAATGCAGAAACGTGGTAAGAATTATCAATAGCACTGATCAGATTAAGTGTATTTGCGAGTTTCTTGTTCTGGTTGTCAAGGTACTTTGAACCCCTTTCCAGGGCACATTTGTTTAAAAGAGAAATGTGGTGAGCCATTTCACTCCTGATAATTAAATCTGACAATGAACAAGTTGCTTGTCTACTCGTCAGTACTTCAGTCAAGATCCATTCATCACCTTTCTTTTCAAGAAGTGTAAGTGCGTTAATAATTTTATCTGCCAATGAGATAAGCAGAATACAATGTAGATGTGTAATAAATAAAAAGACTAAAATGATGGATACCCAAAAGATGCTCATTTTTTTTATTGACCAGAAAGAAAATGATTTATTTCAAGTTCTTTGTGGTACGCTTTCAAGTAGTTACCTGCATATTTGCTCCCCGGTTTCATAGATATTAACACAGGATCCACCATTGAAACAATTTGACGAAGGGCAAAATTCTGAAACGTGAAAAATTAGTATGGTCATTTTTATTAAAAACTGTTATCCTTACCTTTACAGAAGAGGTTTTGTTACAAGCTTTTGATAGAGGGGGCTCATATACCTATATGTGGATAAGCAATGAGCAATCCATTTATGGAAAGTAAAAGCCTTAGGTTCGGTTTGTCCATAGTTGTCATGTTGGGGATTTACTTTTCAATTTACAACTCCACTAAAAACTCAAAGAACTGGCTTTTAAAGAGGATGTTCAGCATGTATGCAAGTCCATTCCCTGACATTTTGCTGCAAGCAGGAGCCCTCTGACATGCTACATCTTCAAGGTTAACTGATGAACTTTACCTTCACAGATTCTACCAGGCTTTAGGATGACTTGAGGTGATCTATCAGCAAATCCAATGCGGCACTGGCAGCTATAACCTTCGGGTCTGGTGTCTGTGTCGTAACAGGTGGCATTACGGGAGCACTCAACGTTAGATGTGGAACATACTGACGGCTTTGAAACTGTTAGAATGATCAAGTAAGAGCACATATATTAAGCTGCAGTAAATCAACTTAATATTAAGCCATTTCAATTTTATTTGTGCTTTATTCCCCAAGTTCTGACAGCTATTACACTTTGTTAGCTTTGCAGTTTACTCAGACATAACACAAGCATTGATATAAATATATTGTTTTAAATATATTATTAGGATTTCCCTTGCAACCATCCCAATTTTTGGCCAGTATTTGCCTGAATGGAACACCAAAATCATTGTGATATCTTGTACAGACGTGATGATTACTTCAGTCTCTGAAGACGTGCATGTATGAAGTGTGCTGATTTTGTCAAGATTCCTGTCATCAATGTATCAATCACTAAGAGTTGGTGTCATGTCATTTCCAAAATGTTTTTTGCTAGGGGAGAAAAATGAAAATCATGGTTTCTTGCTTTGTAAAGCTTTCATTATAACAGCATAACTCCTCTTGTGCTTGTATTTGCTTTGTGTCATTACCAGTACAACTTCTGCCTGGTCGTCCTGGTGTTGCTGAAACATCTTGAAATCCTGCATGACATTGGCAGGTAAATGACCCAGGGAGATTGATGCATGTAGCATTGGAGGAGCAGTCATTGGTATCTGATAGAGCACACTCATCCAGGTCTAACAAACAAGAAACAACAGCCGGTAAGTTCTGTCATTTTATGCTATTCTTCAAAAAGAGGTTGCATGTATGACATGCATACCCAAACGTGCTTGGACAAAAATGCCCAAGCCCTGTTACTTTTGTTCTGGACAAAGCTGTGTAATTTGTGACCTTCACTGCTGCTAACCTGTGCGGGCTATAAGGCATACCTGCGACTTGTACCTTGTAGTTACAAGTTGCCTTCTGCACATGTTGTATGTGTGAGTTATAAGTAATGTACGGCTTAAAATATATATAACATATTTGTTATAATCTGTTTTATACCTGATGCAGCTTGCTTGGTATGCACAAGTTATATATATATGTACTGCTAATTATTAGTACATGTCATAACCCACTTGTATGACTTGTACAAGTTATAAGTTGTGTGTAGAGTTGTATACAAAAATGTCATGGCATGATTTTACGTCAGTCTGACAAAGTAAAATGGGGACATGTACACAAATGTGGTTTATTCAGGCGTTGTATGAACCAAAATACTTAATATTGGAAGCAGTGAAGGAATAATTTCATTCGTTGTAAGAGATTTAATGTTTGATTTAGTAGAACATTTTCCTGGTGAAATTATTCTTCCCTTTGCATCCATAAATATTCATTATAGTAACTCATGTGTATGCCAGACTTGTATTAAATTGTACCTGTGTACAATTTACAAGCTGATAAAATATTATCCAAAAACACAAATTACAATGTGTATGTTAAACTTAATGTGTACGAATGCCTTATTGATTATAACCTAGTCATATAGAGTCGTTATGGATGAGGTACAAGTTATACCTGACTATAACTTGTATGTACACTTGCAAACATACTTGTATATGACTTGAATCTTGTGTGTGCATCCTACAAATTATAATCCAGAAGTAACAGAGAAGATACATGGTTGATTTCAGACTTTGATTTACTGGTCTAGGTGTGTTTCTGTAACTGGTGATACTGAATGGCACAACATTTGTGAAATCCATCATTTTAAATGTTTTCCATAAATAACCTTGCCCTCAGTTTACCTGGTACCTTGGAATTAGATAAACTCAATAAGTTTAGCTTTGAAAAAAGCTAGAAAATGGTTTTTGTTTTTTAGATTAAGAAACAAATTTCATGCAACTCTCTGAGTAACTAGTCTCTCAAAGAGGCTTTGCGGTAGGGATTTTCGTTGGCTTATGTCAAACTTCTAACTAACCTGTCACTGTACTTGCAGCTACATCTACTGTGATATTTAGACTTCCTGACTTAGTACTCTTCATGTAAGCTTCTTCAAATGCTGATTCAAGAACGGTAGGATCGTCAGTAGATTCATCTTGAGTATTGTTAAGGTGTGCAATGTAATCAACAACAATGGATCCATTCTTAAATCCTAAGACTGTACTCCCAAGGTATCGTTCTGCAATAGCTGGACTGCTTGTCAGGTAAATACTGTCAATCTGAAATAAAAAGTTGATGTTTTCAAGAAGCATATGGTACAGTACAGAGTGCTGATTTAAACTTAAGCTGCAGTCAATAAAATATCATTCACTAGCAAGTATCCTTTCAAAGCATCTCAGCAAGTTTTGTGAGTTTGTCTTTAATGTCCAAGATTGATAATGACATAGATTTGGAGGTTACCGTATTCTTGTTTTGAGTATGGATGTCTCTTGGTGACAGATTTCATGTACGTGTACGTGTACTAAACTAAAGAACTGAATCAAAAATGTCAAAGATTCCAATTTTCTGTCCTTACTTTTCTTTTTAAAATTTGTGTGGATGGTGTATACACGGCTTTCCTTTTGTGCAGGATACCTGTTTCAGTTACCTTGATTTACGTTGATAGTTTTTAAGCGTGCTACGAGATTTATGCTTACCGTCTTTTCCATGCTGGCTGCCATTGATTTAAATGTTTCTGACGAAGGATCTTGTAATTCTTCAGTGAAGTCTGCTGGTTGACTGTCAATCTGAGTGATTCGTAAAGTTCCACTGAATGACTGTGATGCTGTATGGAAATTGCAAAATTTGAGACAGTGGTAATTGTTAATAAAAAAACTTTTCCCAACCAAAATATTGGCGGAGTTGTAATGACCTGAGTTCCATTTCTTGGTGATTCGACTCGAATCCCAACAGGTAAATGACTCGACTTGAGTAGGCCTATCTGCGACCAAATGACTCGACTTGAGTAGGTCTATCTGCGACCAAATGACTCGACTTGAGTAGGCCTATCTGCGACCAAATGACTCGACTTGAGTAGGCCTATCC